CGCATGCGCGGTGGTGTCAAGGCGCAGGCACGGGCCCTCGGGAAGCGCGGGCCCCGGGGCAGCTGCCCCGCTCGCCCTGCCCTAAATCCGCCGCTGTCCGGCAGCAATTTAAAGGGCCTAGGGGTTCCAGAGCTGCCACTGTGGCAAGAGAGAAGGTGGTGGCAGGGAGCTCTGGGTCATTTTGAATCTCTGGGTCCCAGGTCAATTGCTTCCTTTGCCCCCTCTTGTTGGTGGGCCTGGAACCACTGTGACAGTATTATGCTATAAAATGCCAATGTATTATGCTATGAAATGCCAATGTGGCATGACATAAGTGACGTATTGTTAAACAATCTCAGAGGGATAGCCATGTTAGTCTGTAATTTTAAACAAGGAGTTGTCCTGTGGCACTTCAGAGACTAACAAAAGTATATATATTTTTGTTAGTCTCTGAGGTGCCGCAGGACTACTCGTTTTTATTATTAATCAATGTTACCACACTTCTTGGTAACAGGCCATCATGACGTTAATGTACTGATACATTGATAACACACAATAGGACATTCACCTGGATCTATGGCATTGTGATACTGCATTAATGCAACTTCACAATGCCAGTGTACCACAGAGCTTTAGTATGATGCTACTGTGCATTGGTGCAATTTTGTGTTTTGATTTAAAGTATCAACTTAAGGGTCACATCAATTTATGATATCTTCCTGCAGCACAGTGTTGAACTCATACCCACTAAAGATATTTCTACCTGAAGTAAGGACGTTTCCATATAATGGGATGATGTGCTGAGTGATGTATTGATGATATATAGCATGGTGGTATGACTGTCACCTCAATACAATAATACACTACTAGGAACTGATGAGATATTGACACAAACTGTCATTTTCATTGTTTGTATATAACTGTGATCTATCATATAAAGCACGCTATGTAAGGTATTGTGGGCAAGGTTATGAGCTGCTGTAAGTCATTGTTCTATCTATGTCATTAGTGCATCTGAAGTTATGAGATTGTATAGTATGGTAGTCACTAAAATGTGCGGTGACTTACGGAACTGCCCAGATATTAGCTCCCCAGAGACAACAAGGGAGGTAACCAATGCCCAGGCAGCTATCGAACAACTATCATCAGACATTGTCCAGCAAGGGAATTGCAATTCAATGACTATTCATTGAATAGTGTGCGATCTCACAACAGGGGAATTGCCCAACCTTGCTGCATGGCTCAGCAATGCCCACCAGATATGCCTGGACTTGAGTTCTCCGAGCACATGGAATATAAAATATAAATTATATGGGGTATAAAATAGGAGACAAAGGCCGAACGATTTGTCCTTTCTCCCCTCCCACCTATGCTGAAGGCAACGAGAAGCATAAAATGGAAACAGAATTTTCATACAGCAACATTAGGGGCCCAATCCTAGGAAGGACTGAGTTTCTGAGCTCCCATGGACTTCAAATGGAGTTGAGGGCACTCTGCACCTCACAGGAACAGGCCTAAATGACCTAAGCACACAAATGCAACGCAACACAGTACAACAGGCCTTCCTTGTGCTTAGAGTACACGTCCATGTTACTATGGTTCCAAGAGTGATGTCATCAGTATGTTCCGACCATTTCTTATGATAGCTCTTAAGACAAATAAATGTCAACAATAGGTTACCAAGGTACCACATGGTGTAGCAAAATCCACCCTACCTCTTTTATACCATTTTCTAAAAGAGAAATGACATTGTGCTGTGTTTTAATCAACTAAACTCAATGGGATTCCCTTTTCTTTATTTTTGGTGGCTTTATTTACATAATGGTCCTCTAGAAGCCAGGGCCAGCCAAGAATCAGATTATAGGGAATGTGATGGGGATGATGAAGACTTTTGTGGGATTGTGGGGCAAATCCTGCTTTCATACTGTATTGGCATTTTGACTATAACACTCATCAACCGTGCTTATGTTTGGGTAAGAGTATTATTATTTTATTAATTCATTTTATTGTGACAGCATGAGCCATTGACGGCTGTGCAGGTGGGGGTGCCGATCGCGCCTTCCGCCTGGGGCGCCAGCTGCTGCAGCTGGCCTCGGGCCACTCCTGCTCACCACCACAAAGCTCATTAGCACTTATAGTCTCTCACCCATATTGGCAGTCGCATCAGAAAGGCCAGGACACTGAACACTGGAAGATTTCCTCTAGATCAGTGTTGAGACCCAGCAGAAGAACAATGTGGAGAAGCTTGCACTGCTGCTGCCGTTGCTATTTGTGTTCCATGAATAATCAATTTTATTTTCCAGGACAGGCAGGATGGCATATTTCGCTAGCCCATTTATGTTGTTTACATATCCACTGACTAGAAAATATTAAAAATCCTTCTGAATAGTAAACTCCACAGCATTTATTCCTATTTTTCTGAAACACAGATCCTCCAGAAACACCAGGGCGAAGTGCGACCTTCTAGCAAAGAGACTAGCCATTCAAAAGGTAAATTTGAATTTTATTAGGCTATCAAAGGAGTTTTAAAAAGAGGGATTGTGGACTGATGACTAAAAAGTATATGTGATCTTTAAAGAGAAAAGGTTTTAGTTGTAGGGCATAATAATTCTTCTGTATGAAGCATCCCTAAGGCCCCCACTTCAAGTAACAGGGGAAATACTCTCATTTATAGAAATGCAAATCCAGAATTACTTTACTGATCAGCTTGAACTTCATATGAACTCCGACATGAGCAAGGCAAAATTTGATCCAGTGTGTACAGATATGGTGTATCTCACTGTTAGAAAGACAGTGATAAAATAGAATATAAATAAAAGCAAAAATGATGATCAACAGATTGGAAGGTCTGATGTAAAAGGAACCATGGTTGAAGGATTTAAGTAACTGTCTGCCAGGGTATGTCTACACTACAAAGTTAATTCGAACTAACGGATGTTAGTTCGAATTAACTTTAATAGGCGCTACACTAGCGCTCCGCTAGTTCGGACTTAATTCGAACTAGCGGAGCGCTTAGTTCGAACTAGGAAAACCTCATTTTACGAGGATTAAGCCTAGTCCGAACTAGCTAGTTCAAATTAAGGGGTGTGTAGCCCCTTAATTCGAACTAGTGGGAGGCTAGCCCTCCCCAGGTTTCCCTGGTGGCCACTCTGGCCAACACCAGGGAAACTCTATTGCCCCCCTCCCGGCCCCGGATCCCTTAAAGGGGCACGGGCTGGCTACGGTGCCCGTGCCAGGTGCAAGCCTGCCAGCACCCAGCCAGCAGACCCTGCACCTGGCACGGATTGAGCCACCCACCCGATGCCCCCCAGCTCTCCCCCTCTTCCCGGGATCAGGCTGGCGGCTCCCGGGAGCTTGCCGGGGCCGCAAGAGGTGGGCACCCGCCTGGGCTAGTGCAGACATCGTGGACCTCGTCCACGATCTCCACACTAGGCACAGGAAAGTGGCCGGCTAGGGCAGGAGAGCTGCCAGCCTGGCCACCCAGGAGCAGGTGTGCAAGAGAATCAAGGGGGTCCATTGAGACCCCCGACCCTGAGCCCTGAACTTACAATGGCCGTCCTGGGTCAGACCAAATGTCCATCTAGCCCAGTAGCCTGTCTGCCGACAGCGGCCAACCCTAGGGACCCTGGAGGGGATGGACCGAAGACAGTGACCAAGCCATTTGTCTCGTGCCATCCCTCTCCAGCCTTCCACAAACCTTGGACAGGGACACCACTCCTACCCCCTGGCTAATACCACTCCATGGACCCAGCCTCCATGACTTGATCTCACTTCCCTTTAAACTCTGTTCTAGTTCTAGCCTTTACAGCCTCCTGCAGCAAGGAGTTCCACAGGTTGACTCTGCTTTGTGAAGAACAACTTTCTGTTACTAGTTTGAAGCCCGCTACCCATTCCTTTCCTTTGGTGTCCTCTAGTCCTTCTTTATGGGAACTAATGAAGAACTTTTCTGTATGCACCCTCTCCACCCAACTCCTGCTTTTAGAGACCTCTATCCTGTCCCCCCTCCATCTCCTCTTTTCTAAGCTGAAAAGTCCCAGTCTCTTTAGCCTCTCTTCATATGGGACCTGTTCCCAACCCCTGATCATTTTAGTTGCCCTCCCCTCTCCCAGCCTCTCTCTTCCCCTCTCCTACCTCCTTTTCCCAGTCTCCCCCAGTTTTGTTCAATAAAGAGAGATTCCATTTTGGAAGACACGTTATCTTTATTTTGTACATCAAGAAGAGGGGCTAGGGAAGGGTAAGTGGAAGGAGGTGAGGGAGGAATGGGGCACGAGCCCCCGATGGGGAGGACTGGGCTGGCTCTGCGGGCTTCTGGGGGTGGAAGCTCTCCTGCAGCCCCCCAATTGCCCCCTTTCCCCAGATGGCAGCCTGTGGCAAGTGCAGCCGGGCTGATGGCCGAGTGCTGTGATGTGCCCAGTGTGGGTAGTCCGGGCAATCCAAGCCAGGACTGCTTTGCAAGCGGGGCACCCCTGAGAACTGTCTGTCCGGGGTGGGGGTCGGGACCCTTTAAGCACAGCCCTCGGCTAGCCTGAGACAGCATCTCCACGCTCTAAGTCCTCCTCTGATGCCCTACCGGCACTGCTTCCGGCCATCCTTAAGCCCGGTTCAGGGTCCACTTAATGTGGACATGCTAGTTCGAATTAGCAAAACGCTAATTCAAACTAATTTTTTAGTCTGGATCCGTTAGTTCGAATTAGCTTAGTTCGAATTAACATTGTAGTGTAGACATACCCCCAGAGATAATGTGAATGTGGCAATCTAACTCCTGGAAAAAGAGAGGCAGATTGCTTGTGCAAGATTCATTGTTTTATTACAGACAGATCTTTGTTTGTCTTACATGATACACCATCCTCCAGGCTACACAATGATTTGCTGTTGCAGGAAGTTCCAAGCTTACATGTAGTCAGCTACCATAGACTACACCTGTCTACACACAGCTAGACTATATGCTCTTCCTCCACTCATCTGAAGACATGGGTTTTGCCCACGAAAGCTCATAATACTCTCTCTCTCTCTCTTACTCCTTCATATATATATCTATATATATAAATACATAAATATATATATATTTGTTAGTCTCTAAGGTGCTACAGGACCACTCGTTTAAGTTTTTTTTTGCAAATACCATAGTAAGAAATGAGGAATTAGACCAAGTTAATCAAATTTGGTATATAAGATATATCTAAGCCTTTACTTTTACCTAGCCATGAACCTCTTCAAGATCGCCCATCTGTGTTTTGCCGCTGCCAGTGTTATGCAATGATTAGATATCCTGCCTTCTCCTCAGTTCATGCACAGCATATTCACTGTTGCAAAATGAGAGCCAATCAGGTGGGACTGGTTATGTTTGGTAGCACGGATTAGCAGTTTCTGAATTCATGTGGTACATAATATGGGCAATGAAGGGAGCTGTAATATTGCTCTAAATAAGCCACATGTTCTCCTGCCCTACTTTAAAGGAATAAAGTAAGAAGAGAAGGTAGGATCGTTCTATTAATTCTATGCAAATACTTGAGAGATATGACCCAAGGGTCAAATTACCCCTTACCCATGTTATTCTGCTTTTAGAAACAGGAAATTCGCTAGCGGATTTCCAGGCTCTAGTGGAAGACTGTGCTGCTTATCTAGCTATCATTTGGAGAGAGAGAAGGAGGGTTTGTTCCTCCTGGAACAGATTGGGTTCAGCCCCAACGACCAATGATCTGTTGGAGACCAAGGCTGTCCATGGTTTTTTGGCCATATGTTTGCACAGTGCTATCTTGCCATGCTGTTATGGTGTCTTTGAGTGCTGCTGTCCCACAAGGGTCTGCATGTTGCTGTGGAGATGTTCACATAGCATGGCAGGACAGCTAGTATATATGAATACAGTCAGGAGCTCTGCCTTAGGAGCCTCTTTGTCTCAGCAAATCAAGGGCATCATAGAATCATATATACTAGAAATGGAAGGGACCTCGACAAGTCATCAAGTCCAGTCCTCTGCCCTTACAGCAGGACCGAGCACCATCTAGATCATCCCTGATAGGGTGCGTCTACACAGCAGGGCTTAACTCGAAATAAACTACATAAATTGAGCTACATCAATTGCGTAGCTTTTTTTGAAATAGCTTATTTCAAAATTGTGCGCGTCAACACAGCACTTATTTCAAAATAGAGCACTCTTCCTCCAACTGCCCTTATTCCTCGTACAATGAGGGTTACAGGAATCGGAATAAGAAGTCCTTCAGCCTGACAGTATTTTGACGTTATTTTGAAATAATGTTGCTATGTAGCTATACCCATAGATGTCTGTCTAACCTGCTCTTAAATATCTCCAGGAATGGAGATTCCACAACCTCCCTAGGCAATTTATTCCAGTGTTTAACCACCCCGACAGGAAGTTTTTCCTGATGCCCAACCTAAACCTCCCTTGCTGCAGTTTAAGCCCATTGCTTCTTGTCCTATCCTCAGAGGCCAAGGAGAACAATTTTCCCATCTCCTCCCTGTGACATCCTTTTAGATACCTGAAATCCGCTATCATGTCCCCTCTCAGTCTTCTCTTTTCCAAACTAAACAATCCCAGTTCCTTCAGCCTTCCTTCATAGCTCATGTTTTCTAGATCTTTAAACATTTTTGTTGATCTTCTCTGGACCTTCCCCAATTTCTCCACATCTTTATTAAAACATGGTGCCCAGAACTGGACACAATATTCCAATTTAGGCCTAATTAGTGCGGGGTAGAACAGAAGAATGACTTCTTGTGTCTTGCTCACAACACTCCTGTTAATGCATCCCAGAATTATGTTTGCTTTTTATGCACAGTGTCACACTATTGACTCATGTTTAGTTTGTGGTCCACTATAACCCTTAGATCTCTTTCTGAGTACTTCTTCCTAGACTGTCAGTTCTCATTCTGTGTGCGTGAAACGAATTGTTCTTTCCTAAGTGGAGTACTTTGCATTTGTCTTTATTAAATTTCATCCTATTTACCTCAGACCATTTCTCCAGTTTGTCCTGATCATTTTGAATTATGAGCCTATCCTCCAAAGCAGTTGCAACCCCTCCCAGCTTGGTATCATCTGCAAACTTAATAAGAGTACTTACTGTCTATGCCATCATCTAAATTGTTGATGAAGATATTGAATAGAACTGGTCTCAAAACAGCCCCCTGCAGAACCTCACTTGTTATGCCCTTCCAGCATGACTGTGAACCATTAATAACTACATTCTGAGGGTATGTCTACACTACCCTCCTATTTCGAAGTAGGAGGGTAATGTAGGCATACCGCACTTGCAAATGAAGCCCGGGATTTGAATTTCCCGGGCTTCATTTGCATAAGACGGGCGCCGCCATTTTTAAATCCCGGCTAGTTCGAACCCCGTGCCGCACGGCTACACGCGGCACGGAGTAGCTAGTTCGGATTAGGCTTCCTAATCCGAACTAGCTGTACTCCTCATTCCACGAGGAGTACAGTTAGTTCGGATTAGAAGCCTAATCCGAACTAGCTACTCCATGCCGCGTGTAGCCGCGCGGCACGGGGTTCGAACTAGCTGGGATTTAAAAATGGCGGCGCCCGTCTTATGCAAATGAAGCCCGGGAAATTCAAATCCCGGGCTTCATTTGCAAGTGCGGTATGCCTACATTACTCTCCTACTTCGAAATAGGAGGGTAGTGTAGACATACCCTGAGAGTGGTTATTTAGCCAGCTATGCACCCACTTTATAGTAGCCTTATCTAAGTTGTATTTGCCTAGATTATTGATAAGAAGGTCATGTGAGACCATATCAAATGCCTTACTAAAGTCTAGATATACCATGTCCACCCGTTCTCCCTTATCCACAAGACTTGTTATCCTATCAAAGAAAGCTATCAGATTGGTTTGATATGATTTGTTCTTTACAAATCCATGCTGGCTGTTACCTTTCTTCTAGATGTTTGCAGATGAATTCTTTAATTACCTGCTCCATTATCTTCCTTGGCACAGAAGTTAAACTGACTGGTCTGTAGTTTCCTGGGTTGTTCTTATTTCCCTTTTTTTATAGATGGGCACTAGATTTGCCCTTTTCCAGTCTTCTGCAATCTCTCCCGACTTCCATGATTTTTCAATGATGATAGCTGAAGGCTCAGATACCTCCTCTATGAGCTCCTTGAGTATTGTAGGATGCATTTCATCAGGCACTGGTGACTTGAAGACATCTACCTTTTCTAAGTAATTTTTAACTTGTTCTTTTTTTATTTTATCTTCTAAACCTACCCCATTTCCACTAGCATAAAGGAGACTCCCATTAACTAAGTTGACAAAGGACATATTACAAGAAATGGGGGCCTTAAACTGAAGCAGGGATCGTTAGGATTAGATATAAAGGAAGCATGGCCTACTGTAGTTGTCAGAAGTCATCAATGTGGTGTCCTGATAGGTCTCTTGCTCTGTCCAGTGATGATAACCATTTGGCTATATTCATGCGCTCCTTCTGTGCGCCGTGTTTACTTTGCATAATCAACACAGCAGAGTCTGACAGAGCCCCCAAAGACCACAAAATCAGATAAGAATCAAAGGCACCAGGTCAGGTTTACCATCAAATGAAGAACAGTAATAGTTGCCTGTAGACTCTACTGAACTACTATGCATATGTACCCCGTGACAATGGACCAGCTTAGTCAGTGGGAGGGCTCTCAGCCTTCTAGGCTGGAACAAGACAGCCCCTCCAAGGCACAACATTATACACAGCTACAAATGAGTTACACAACACACCTGATGAGTCAGGTTGCCACCTTCTGTCGTTATTTAGCTACCACCCATCACCTTGCACTTGGTTGTTCAATGAAAATATCTCTATCCATCATCCTGTCATTTTAGACCCAGTCCTGAACCTCAGTCAGTATGTCTCTGTTATCTATGGGGAGTGTGTGGGTACCAAGGTGCTTCTTACAAAAGTGTTGTTACATCCCTCTGGAATGTGCTTTCAACCTGTGCCTAGTACCAATTACCGGTTTACAACTGTGCCTACCAGTTAATATTTCATACTATCAGCTCTGTTCATGCCATTTTCCATGAGCATTTTCTTCTCGCTCACAGCTCAACTTTGCTTTATATTAACAAAGTCTTGACCATTGTTGCCTAGGCTTGAGCCTCACACCAGGCCTGTAAAACATGGACTTATATTTCAGGCCCTCATCTTACTTCACCTACGATGTATTTTTTTAGTTTTATTGATGTAGTCTTTATCCACTGATGTAAGCTTTACCCACTGCTGTTTCTGAGGACATATTTTTTGTTCAGATTTGCCTCTCTTGATCAGCCTCCCTAGCCCTACAAAGGAAGGGAAATCTGAAAGCACTACCACCATGGAATAAAGGCCACTGTGGGTGACAGTGCAGCTAAACTATTTTTCTTCTGTTAGTTCCCAGGGACTCTGTCTGCAAGCGTCACAGCAGGTTCAGCATTTGGGATTTCTTCAGCAAGTTTTTCAATGGGAAAACTAAAAAGCACCCCTGTCAGTCTGCCAAACCTGCCCACTGTTCAGAGGAGGCCACCGCCTGGACCTACTTAGAAAGGAAGCAGACAAGGCTCGTCGCAAAGCTAAACCGGCAGACTGTTTGTGATAGTGACTCCTCAGACATCAACAGCGAGGACTTGGATTCAGAGGCATCCTCGTGGAAGGAAAGTGAAACAGAGTATATCCCCACTATGGCTAACCTTAGGCAGAAAAAGAAAGCACTGAAGCAAAGGAATGCAGAGAGCCACTGGATCAGGGAACAGCCCTGCCTCCGCTGCAAAGCCAAGAGGACAAGAAAATGGCTGTCCCAGCATTTCTATAATCCCATGCCACCTGCTCACGGGAAGAGTATTACATTAGAAGAGAATTCCTCCATGCATATTACTACATGACTTGCCTTCATTTGAGCTGTATTTGGGCCTTTGTTTGCTTGAAGTCACCTGCACTGGGTAGACAGAACCTGTGTGAAAACACAGCATGGGAAAGTTCAAGGGAATGACATGTTTCAGTACTTGGCTACAGGCAATAAATGTACACAGCACAATAAATGTACACAGCACAATAAATGTACACAGCTAATGTTCATATAAGAGTGTGTTTATTTAAAATATAAATATCTTTGCCTGGACGTGGCCTAATGAAGACCTCTCTTCCCACAGCGGGTTTAACACTGGGGTTCCTCCAGATTAAGTATAGTGGGACAAATTCATTGAGGAACTAAGGTGAACTTCTGCTGAGGTTCCAGGGTGTGACTGGGCAAAATGGCAACAACTGTAGTTACAGGGACAGAGCCGCTGCAGTGTCAGAAGTGAGCCATACTTGTGAAAAGGGGTTATGGCTAGGGCGAGCAGAGAGTCCGGCAGTGGAGCTCCTGTCCATTTCCAAAGATGCCTCCGGTACCCTTGGGGGAAACACTGTCTCCTTCTTGAGAGGTAAACCTTTTCTGAGACCACATTGAACTCAACACCTTTCTGTGCCAGATTTGCTGAATTTGGCTGTCAGCTGCCAAATACACAACATCAGAGTGGAAAATACCCGAAAGGAGAAATGACACCCTTATCTATCAACTACCTTGAGAGTTTTGACATATGTGGGAATTCAGTCATATGGGAATTCAGATACCACTTTAGTTGAAGAGGGGGGGCCCTGCCAAGCCCCATGTATAAATATGGCCTTGCTTGCTAGATCATCCGTCTTCTGTTTCTGGCTAACCCTTCAAACATGAGGCTGATTTTGTTCTTTGGTGCCCTCTTTGGGGCTGCCTGGTGCCTAGAAACATTTGTTGGGTAAGTTACATTTTAATAGAAGATCTCTGATTCAAAGGCCATCCTAATCTAAAACTTCTTTTTCATCTTTGTGTATCTTGAAAAGGTCTGGGGCACATATTTTGTGTTTTGTTAGCTAATTAGTTTCCACAAAATACTACCCTGGCTTTTTCTGTGCATCTCAGACCCTTTACTCGGGGATCATGATGCTGTTTTGACATCTAGTGTTCTGATCCTTATAATGCACTTAAATATACAGTAAAGCCAGAGCTGTAGAGGGCTCAGCAGCATGGTTCTCTGGGGTCTGAGAAAACAGTTTATTTCGATGGCTCTGAGTTCACAAGAAAGTTGGGTTTGAGGTATGGGTTGATTCAAATTTCCTCAACGTTCAGATTTCTCAGGGGTTTTGCTTCATCTTAGTATAGATCTAGGGGCCAGCCTCAAAAGTACAGTTCTGGTACTGAATCTGAATCTCATCACAGAGTTTGAGAATGTTTAGCTCATTATAGAAATAGGGTTGCATAAGAAAAATTAGAATTGAGTTCCAGATCCAAACTTGCCCGGAGCACAGGGAGGCTGAGATTTAGGTTCTGACTGAAGCCCGTCACTGTCTTGTTCACAGTCCTGTGAGTTTTGCTTCGAATTTTGAGGAAGCCCAGAAATGAAAAATGAAACTTAGTTGAAGCTGCCACATTTCTCGCAGTTAGATTCATCAGAAGTTACACAGGTTTATTCTCACATTGCATTAAAATGTTTCTGCTTTAAGATTGTTGCCTTTTAATCTCAGTAAGTTTATAACAATTTGAATAAAATGCAGTATAAAATCTGATGGATGTTCTCTAGAATGTGGGAACTAGATATCAGGTCCCAGTGAACAAATATCCATACATCACAAAAGCCTTTTTTAGTTAACACATAATTTTCAACTTTCTGGACAGTCTAGTGGCCAAGGATTACTAGGAGCCTGGACACTTCTCTCTCATATTAATGGTGGTCCCAGCAGATTACAAGTGATATATCTTAACAAGGGAATCTTGCACTGCTGTTTTCCCTGCTGTATCTGTTCTGTATACGTTTCTACCATATGATTGGAAGCCAACGGGCAATAGAAAAAAGTAATCACTAGCCAAGATAAGAGCACAACTCAGCCGGCAATTTTGCACCATCAGAAACACAGACCTTCCAACTGTAACAGTACTGTACTCTGTGATAATTATTACAATTTAATATTTATATTATAATGGCTTCTAGTGGCTTTAGTCAGACCCCCATTGTGCTAGGTGTTATAAAAACACATTCAAAGACATAGTCCCTAACTCAGAAAAGTTTACAGTCTAAGAAGGCAAATTACATACAAAGAAAACATGGGGTAGAAAGAAAGATAGAATAATATAAATGCAAAATGACTCTCTTTTTGTGCAATGTGATGGTACCGTGTGAACCCTGACTTCTAATGAGATTATTGGTCTCTGCGAGTGCATCTACACTATACCCATAGCTCAACATAAGCTACACAATTTGAGCTATGCAAATTGCATAGTTTATTTCGAGTCTTTCAAAATAACTTATTTCATAATTATTTCAAATTACAAAATAACCCGCTATACCGAAATGTTCCTTACTCCTGGTGCAATGAGGTTTATAGGGACATTGGAATAGTGAGCTTGTTATATTTCGAAATAACAAGCTTGCTGCTAAGATGTGGGATAGCTATTTTGGGATCCCTAACCCTAACCCTCCGGGATCCCGAAATAGCATTGCAGTGTAGACATAGTCTGGGACACCTGTTTCTGGCAGCTGGAGACAAGAATGAAGAATGTTATATTATCTATAACATCAAACTGTAGAGCTGATTCATAGATTCCAAGGCCTGAAGCAAAGGAGAAAAAGAGTAAGTGGTAGGTGGGCAGGCCTCAGGGGAGGAAGTGAAGAGGAGTGAGTGGCAGGTGAGGGAGTACCCAGGGGAAGAGGAGGAACAAGAGCAGGGCCTCTGGGGAAGAGATGAAGTGGGGACAAGGCCTTGGGTGGAGGAGGGGTGAGGTCACAGTCCCCACCACTTCTAGGGAGCTTCCAGTGCTTGCTCCCAGCCTCCCCAAATGCAAGAAAAATGTCCAGTCTTGATGTAAAGACGCCCATTGATGAAGAATACACCACAACCTTCAGGTTAAATACCCTCACTGTGAAACAATTTCACCTTGTTTCTAGTCTGAATTTGTCAAGCTCAATCATCCAGTCATAGGATCTTGTTATACATTTGTCTGCTAGACTGAAGCACCCTCTCCTCTCCATATAGGTACTTATAAATTGCAGTCAATTAATCCCTTAATCTTTTAATAAACTAAATAGATTGAGCCCTTTGTCTCTCTCACAATAAGACAGGTTTTCCCACATCTTTGTGTCATCCACAAACATTATGGCTGTGTCTACACTGGGCAACTTATTCCGGAAAATCAGCCACTTTTCCGGAATAAGCTGCGAGCTGTCTACACTGGCCCCTTGAATTTCCGGAAAAGCAGTGACGATTTACTGTAAGAAATCAGCTGCTTTTCCGGAAAAACTATGCTGCTCCCGCTCAGGCAAAAGTCCTTTTTCCGGAAAACTGTTCCAGAAAAGAGCCAGTGTAGACAGCACAGTAGTCTTTTCCGGAAAAAAGCCCCGATCGCGAAAATGACGATCGGGGCTTTTTTCTGGAAAAGCGTGTCTACATTGGCCACAGACGCTTTTCCGGAAAAAGGGCTTTTCCGGAAAAGCAGCCTGCCAGTGTAGACGCTCTTTTTCCGGAAATACTTATAACGGAAAACTGTTCCGTTTTAAGCATTTCCGGAAATTCATGCCAGTGTAGACACAGCCTGCTAGTAACAAATATTTTCTTCCACCTTATTTATAAAATTATTGAATAACATAGGGCCACTAGAAACACACCAACTCAACATTGATTTCCTGTTTACAGTTACAATTTGAGACCTATTAGCTAGCTAGTGTTTACTCCATTTAATATGTGCCATGGTGATTTTGTATCATGCTAGTTTTTTAATCAATATATCATGTGGCCACAGATATCTAAGTATATTACATCAACGCTATATTGTCTTTATTAGCCAAATTTGTATTCTCGTTAAAAATAGTAACACATTCATCTGACAAGATCTATTTTCCAAAAACCCATTTGATATGGCTTGTTTCATTTTTTGTAGAGACCAGGTTCTTCGGGTGAAGGCAAGCAGCGAAGAAGAGATTAACAAACTACAACAGTTGGAAACACTGGAACATCTTCAGGTGTGTCATTACACCTTTCTACCAGCTTTTGTTAATCTGTCAGATTGTGAGTTCTTCGGAGCAGGGATCATGCCTTCTTTTTTTGGGTTGGAAATAGCTTTTCACAATGTGGGAACTACCACAAATAAATAAAAATAATAATAGAATAGAATAGTAGAAATTTAGGGCTAGAGATGACTGTGGGAGGTCCAGTCCAGCTGCCTCCGCTGAGGCTATGCCTACACCAACTCTGACAAGAGTTTGTCTAACCTATTCTTAAAAACTTCCAATGCTCAGGATTCCATAATTGTTTTTCCTAATATCTAACCTAAATCTCCCTTTCTGCTGATTAAGCTGATGACTTCCTGTTCTACCTGCAGTGGACATGAAGAACAATTAATCACTGTCCTCTTTACAACAGCTCTTGACATACTTACTATTATCAGGTCTCCCTCCCAATTTTCTTTTCTCAAGACTAAACAAAAGCCCACGGTTTTGTTTTTGTTTTTTTAAACTTTTCCTCATAGGTAAGGTTGAATTTTTTTTGTCACTCCCCCTGGACTCTCTTTGTGTACATCTTTCTTAAAGTGTGGGGCTCCAAACTGAACACAATACTCTAGCTGAGGCTTCACCAGTGCCAAGCAGAATGGAACAATTAAACTCTGTTTTGGTCTTTTTTCCACAATTGTATCACATTGCTTCTTCTCGTAACTAAAAACAAGGTCAAGGTTTGGTTGTGCCAAGACAACCTGAAGCCCTGGGAAAAGGACTGTTTTCCATAACATGCAAAGGAAAGGGCTGCTGTCCGGAAAGACATGATATGTGAGTGGCCAGTGGGGGCAGCGTGTAACGGTTTTACCCCCTCCCCCCGTGCTTTATGTATGAAATTGACTTATGGATCTAGATATGCATAACGTGAAGATGCTTTGGTCAAAATACCTCATGTAACCTATCAATATTAATGTCATAATCTGCTGGATCTGCATATCTTAATTTGGTGTATGTATCTTTCTTATATGGAAAGTTAGAAATACAGGGGTATGGAATGGTTTATGGTTTTAAATGTGCACATGAAAGCCATCAAGGGTGTTTCCCTCAATGTCTGGGTGATCACCTGTAAACAGCCTCTTTTGTCCTTTAAATCTAAGCAGTGGTTGATCTTAGGAAGACATGTGACCACCCTAACCGGTAAGGTCTGACCAGGTAATTTTCCATGGAAGGGAGAATGTGAAACAAAGAATTCCCACCTAAAAAAGGGCAAAGTTTTCAGGGTCTTTGGCTGGCATGTCACCCCCAAGAGAATGAACCAGAGACCTCAGGGGGAAAAGATCTTCTCTGGCTTAGCTGAAATAAGAACAGTTTTAGGGTAAGTTTACACTGAGTTTTTAGAGTGTTAGAACTAGCTATGAGTTTTCTGTTATTTTAAATTTGTCAGCACACTGGGAAGCATCCCCAAGGGCTTTTGTGTAACTGCATCCTGTCACACAGAGAGCCTGCAGGAGAGAACTACATTGCAGAATGGCCACTGGGGGCAGCTGAACCATCAAGGTAGTGGCCAGCAGGGCTGGGGTTCTGCCATCTTGCCTGCCAACCCTGGGCCACAGCGTTGGAGGACAAGGAGAGAGCAGGGCCCTGGAGGGCTGGGGGAGTGGCCTGGGGGCAAGGAGAACAGACCCCAGGGAGGGAATGGGAGGATGAGAGAACATGCCTCTGGCCCCCAGCCTCTTGCATATACACCCCCAACGTCCCCAAGGTCCTGCCCCGAAGGACACGGTCAACGCCAGGTAAGTCTGCTAGTGCTCAATATTATATACGAGGTATGATCTAGTCCCTGGAAACATCTTGAGTTCTAATCCTGTGTCTGATTGTACCTGCCCCAAAGCAAGTCATTTTAAATCTTGGTGCTTCTGTTTCCTCTTTTTAAAACTGGAATGATATTTATATGCTGGTCTCCCAGTGACATTATGATCATTAATTAATGTATGTATGTATGTATTGTATTATGAGGAAGATAAGCATGAAGTAAAAAATTGGGCTTTTCTAGATTTATCACCATTGGTGAGAAATTCTCTTGAAAATTGTATGTACAGTATTTGTATTATATATATGCAAGATAAAAATGCAATACTATAAAAGCAGCAAAAGCAACATACTTAGTATCATATAATCATCTATAAATGGATAATTTCTCAAAACTACAAATGGGTAAAGGGAAAATACAGGACATTCGTAACAGATTTGGGACTAAATCTCCTGTCACTAAAGTTGCTGACGTGCTGAAGCCAATGAAAATGCCGGCTTTGGTCTTTCCCTGGGCCTCTATTTCCCTATTTGTAAAGTGAGGACAGAAATACTTATATGTTGCAAGGGTCTTGCGAAGCCCAGTAATTATTGCTTATATAGTGATTTGAGATTCTCAGATAATGGAATATGCTAAAGTCGGAAGTGCTGCAAAACCACAGGCATTATCCCAACCGGGGGAGTTAGACATTTTTGGGGCTTCTTGAGAGATGTTCCCCAAAGTCCATTTTTCTGAAATGATTCCTTAATCTGTATTGGTTTTCTTCTCTTCAGCTTGATTTCTGGCTACACCCCTCAAACCCAGCCCTTCCTGTGGATATTCGAGTCCCCTTTGCCAGTCTCCAAGCAGTCAAAGTCTTCCTGGAGTCCCACCACATTGAGTACTCTATCCTTCTTGAAGACCTGCAGGTAGACAAAAGTACTTCACTGATGTATGCTTTGTCTCCCTAATCCCTGCATTTATGCTCATTGATGTTATTTGTAGTAGAAGCAATGCACCGCACTAAGATCCCTGCCTCTCGTAAGCCTACTTCAACCAGTGTAGGTTTCCCTATATCTTGTGAAAGCCTCCTACTGATCTCTCAGCATGTACCAGATCATTTGGGTCTATTTTAAGTTCCTCTTTCCACAGGGAGATCCTCCCTTTTACTATTTTTTGTAGATCATGTACTTAGCTATGAAAAGTCCGACTAACTTTTCCAAGAATGATATTGGCTCCCATCAAGCTACTAGAACCCTACATCTCAGGGTGAGAAAAACATCTCAGCTGGGCATTGAACTGGGGGACTCTTGAAGAGCTGTATGTCCAATAGACCAGATAAATCACTACTAACTCTTGGCAGTAAAACCTTACTCCTTTTTCAGGCCTTCTGTGCTATCTCCATTCAGCTCAACGAGTGCCTGAATCTTAATGCTGACCATTTAAATGTCAATAGTGTTATTTATTTCACGGCAGGTAAGCGGAAACTTCCAGCTGTTCTGCCGTTGTGTCTAGAATCTGACACTGGGGGCAGAGCCTTTGTTGAGTGGTGCCCCTTCATTTCCCAGTTCTGACACTTGATTAAAATCCTACAAAGACAGGCCTTCCTCATTGATTTGAATTGCTTGGTTTAGATGGCAATAGATGAAGAAAAGCAAGAGATGGTTAGCAATCAACAAAGGGAACGTGGCACCAATAATTTCAACTATGGAACTTATCACACCTTGGAAAGTGTAAGTATTTCAAGTTCAGCTCTTTGGGAGAGAGATTATTTTCTTCTGTCCTGCTCTTGCATGTTACCTCCGCTCAAATATTTTTTGTAAACATGTTGAATTCCTTCTTGGCTTCCTTTCTGCATTCTCCACAGCGGAATCTCTCAAATCATTTAATACCTTATGTCCTTACAAGTAGGTCAATTTTGGTTTATAATCGGTTTATTTAGTACTCATGGTGTTGAGGGACTACTCTCACTTGCTAAAAGGTAGGAATATTACAAGCAGGTGTAACCCATATACCTTCAGGGCATGGTGCACTGTACTATCTAGTGTCATTGAGACCACTTACAGAGAGAATAATGAGTCTGCTCTCCAGCCTTAGCTAACAGACAGCTGGCTTTTAGCTCATGCAGAGTCTGCTGGTTTTACACAGGTGCTCAACAAACCTCTCCATACAGCTCTACTAATGCTTCTCATTTGGTTACTCTTGTTATTTCAGTCCAGGGCCTCACATAGCTCTATCAATGCACTTTGCTCCAGATCTGCAGCATTTCCATTCCAGTGCTGAACTTCCCCACTTCTGTGCTAGGTCTAGTTACATGCAATGTCTGTTTTGCTGCTTCAGGAACGAGAGTACCAAACTAGACAGAGCAATGATTTAGTCATGGTTTCCAGGTCCTATTTTGCTGCATTGTGTAGGCTCTTGTATTTATTTTATAGCTTGATGTACAGCTATTGAATGTCATGCTTATTTCAGATCAGTGGTGGGCAACATATGACCCACTGGGGTTCTATGTGTGGTCCACAAGACATTTTCTTTACAGTCACCCACATAGCATTGCCAGATTCTACTGGTTTCCATTTGCGTAGTTTTTTTCCAACTGGTATTACTGAGGTGACATACATGTAAAGCCAGGGCACGTGAAGTGAGGTTGACTGTGAGAGCCATGTCAAAGCGCTGCTACTGTTCAAACAGCACACATGCACAAGCACAGTTAGCAAAACTACCCTATGCTGGGAGACCATCTTGGTTACAATAATCTTGTGGCCTGAGGTGAAGGAGGGCCAATCATGCAGCCCACTCATTACCCTAGGTTGCCTAGCACTGTATTCGATAATAAAAATGCTAGGCATACTACAGTCTTATCAAATTAGAACGTACTGTATCTGATTTTGATCTCACACTGTTTTGTTTTGTTTTTTTCACCAGTGTAACTCTGCTGACTTCTGTGGGATAGCTGCAGATTTACCTTGGATTGATTGAGATCAAACATAGGCTCACTAAGTACACCAGAAAACTGATTTTATACAACTTTCTTCCATGTAACTCTGGCTGTGACTAGCAGTGTGTGAGTTCAGTGTTGGAGATGACAGATCATCTTCCACATTGCTCTATATGATCAGTTTGGAGATATAGCGTTAGCATATCCTGGTTTGGGAGAATGGCTTTGCAGGGGAACCCCCTTCTCTGGCCTACACACAGAGCAATGCTGGTGGGGGCTTTAGAGGAGGCCAGTTCTTGCCCTTCTTAGTTAAGACAGGTCTGCTGATTCAAAGACTTTGAGGGCAAAATTTAGGAAGGGGTGAAGAATGAGGGGACTCCTTCTCCATGTGACTAGCTAATCGCTGAAGAAGACATAAAGCTGTATGGGCATGAAAGAAGAGAGGTGTTTTCAGGTGAAAGTGGAAAGTGAAGTGGAGAAATACAGACAGGATGCAGGAACAAGCACTATAACAAGCACTAGGATTAGCATAACAATATTTGATATAATATAAACTCTATTATTATTTTAGATTTATTCAGCATTGGATGATCTTGCAGCTGAATACCCCAACCTCGTGAGCAAACAAAAGATTGGAGACTCTTATGAAAAGCGGCCCATGTACATTCTCAAGGTATTGTTCCTGTGCATAGAATAACAACTTTGCATTTCAATAGCCTGTTAGTTCAAAATATCCCAAAGTATGTATAGAGAGAAATCACTCCATCTGCCACTAAACTGCAACTACACAGCAGAACAGAGCAACACTTTGGAAAAGTGATACTGCAGAAAGCAGCTTTATGGAATTATCCACATTTGAATTGAGTCTGGATTCTGAGCCAACCCCCTGACTCTGGCAAAAAGGTGTTATGGGATCTTTAATCACTGTAAATAATCCAGAATCTTGTGTTATATTTCAGGGTCTTCAGTATCCTGAAAAACTGGAATGTTGGTTTGCAAAAACGGGAGGAGGGGGTGGAGAGGGCGGGGGAAGACACACTCATTCCAAATATTGCTATGTTTAATTTATGTTGTCCAAATGGGAAAGCTACTTTAATGGATGAGATGGACGGTATGTCTACACTGCACCGTTATTTTGGAATAATTAGTGTTATTCCGAAATAACAATGCGCGCATTTACACAGCAATTCCATTATTTTGAAATTATATCGAAATAACAGGCAGCTTATTCCGACTTCTGTAAACCTCATTCCATGAGGAATAACTCCTCTTCCGAAATAGCTGGATGCTCCACTGCTGCTATTTCGAAATAGCTCCTCACCAGGCCCATTCTAAGTAATTTCTCTCCAGTGCTTCCTGAGGCTCTAAATCGAGATAGTGCGTCCACATTAGGAGAGTCTGCCTCGGACTAATTTTGAGGCTTCCCTGTAGTGTGGACGCTATATTTCTAATAGAATATTTCTTCTAGAACAGCTTATTTTGAAATAAGTGTTCAGTGTAGACATACCCTGAGTTGCTTACTTACCCCTTCTCATGCCACAAATGCTGTTTAGAATCATGATACATACTCTTAATTTCTGGAGGATCCTGGCTGTCTTAACAACCATTATGAATAATGCCCCCATTTGGGGCTGGTGAAGATATTATGTGTATACAGCATCTTCCTCATCAGAAACAGAGGAGGACAGTGAGCAGATGCTGAAGCAAGAATTGCAAATGACTGTTAAGTCGATGGACTGGTAAATCTGGCGAGTTTACCTTTAGCATCATTAAGGCAAATATGCCATCACTGGGTCTGATTCACTGCTCCATTACATCAGTTTTATCCACATAACTGTATTCAAACCCATTGATTTTCCATCCTTTCAGACAGATGGAAAAAAAGAGTTGGATAGGAAGCGAGAGGTCTCACAGTAGTGAATATTTTTCACGTTTGATGTTTCATTTTGCAGTTCAGCACTGGGGGAACCAACCGTCCTGCTATTTGGATTGATGCTGGTATCCACTCCCGAGAATGGGTCACCCAGGCTACTGCACTGTGGACAGCTAAAAAGGTTGAGTGGACTGATGTTCTTTTCTCCTGGGATGGCTGCTGGCTATTATTGATTGATAAATCATTTAAAAGAATAGTGTAATGAGGTGGCACTCACCTTCTGGGAGCGCCCCTATCTGGCCGAGGGATGTGCCTGCGCTCTCTTTATTTGACAGCCTTTCGGCTTCTGAGCCCATTGTCCGAGTCATACCCCTGTGTGAAATACAAACCCCTTCCGGGGTACACACTTAACAGGAGCCCATCCCGGTGCCCTCTGCTAATGTCCCTCTTGGTAAGTTTCCCACTTGGAGAGAGTGGTGCCTCCTGGGCTTTCCCTCCTGGAGATCTTCCTCAGCCCACCAGCCAGCCTCACAGTCTGTACACCTTGAAAGCTCCAGAGACAGTGACTGCCACTCTGTTCTTCAGCTCCCTTTTGTAGGCCTTCCTGGCCCCTGATTGGCTGCTTTCTCTGCAGTCACACTAGCTAGGGTTGCCAGATGGTTTCATCAAAAATAACAGACACACTTGACATGACATCACAATCTATATTACACCTTATTAAGAAAATACCGGACATTTCTATTTTCTCATTTATATTTTCTCAATTTGTTTCCCAAACAGAAAGCTCTAATACTGGATTGTCCGGTTCAAAACTGGACACCTGGCAACTCTAATGCTAGTCTCCTTGGGAGACTTCTCTGTGGCTTTCTGAGGTGGGGTATGGGTCAGGTCCACCCCTTCATGATACATCACCATGAAAAGATACCAAAATGGTCTACTGCATATACTTTACCAACCAATGTTTATTGGGATTGTTTCACACTCTGGTGAAATATGCCATTTTGTGGGGTGGAACATGGCAGCTGTTTAACACTGCATAGAAATTTAAAAGGGATAGTGAAAATTACTGCATACAACTGAAACTGCAAGGGAATTTTAGGTCAGAAAAATGTGATTTGGTCAGGACATCAAGTTTTAAACCTCACTTTTGTGAAAAGTCACAGGAGATCTTTAACAGCAGATGTCAGTAATTCAGTTTTATATCTCATTTGCACTTTCAGCAACCCACTGACTCCTATCGCTACACTGAGATATTAATTCATTATTGCCTCAGAGAGAAAAAAACACTATGTACTATGAGACAATAGTTTATTCATAAATTTGCAATATGTTACACACAGATCAAAGGCTCAATTCTCCATTCTGACTTATTAGTGTTTTACATCCATTTTGCATTCATTTTGCACAGAAATAAATGATGACACAGCATCCAAGGCAGAAGAGACTCAGGCCCTAGATGTTCTTTTGTAGATATGTTTTTATTTCCTTTCTACTTTAACCTTGTACTGTAACCCAGCCAGAATTAGGTATAGTATTAGCATGGCAAGTATTCTATAATGATCTAACATAACTCAAAATCAGTTACCTTGCTTTCTGTGCAGTTAATAATGCTTAACTTGTCCGTAGCACATTTTATCTAAAGATCTCAAATGGCTTTACAACAATTTATTTCAGTATCACAGCTCCTCTTCATGGTAGGTCTCTTACTAGCCTCATAACTAATGGGAAACTGAGAGGTTAAATGACTTGCCGAAGGTCTAATAGTGACTCACTAATAGCATCTCTTATTTGTCATCATTAATTTTCAGGGCTTACGTTCTACTGAAATGAATGAGTGGTTCACACTCCTAGAGTTAATAGTGCAGTTGATGATCTCAGAGAAAGAGTTGGTTATCTTTGCCAACAGGAGGGCCAAATTGTAATTATTTTTAGCTGAGAGCATAAACTCTGCTGAAGCCATCAGAGAAATGCAGCTGTATTGTGCACCCCAACCTTGTTTAACCCAACTCCTGGAAGAAGCAACTGTGATAAGCATGTTGGAATGTATTTTGTCTCTAATTAGATTGCAGCTGAGTATGGGAACAATCCGTCTGTCACCTCCCTGTTAAACAAAATGGACATTTTCCTCCTGCTTGTCACAAACCCTGATGGATATGCATTCACGCATACCAACGTGAGTAACCACAGTATGATTACATCCCCATTGCCATACCGAATCAGGCACTTCTGGAAGCTGGGCAGTGATCGTCCATGCCAACAAAAAAATGTATAGTTTAGCTTTAGCAAACCACATCTGGCAGATACAGCTTTAGCCTTGTGAAGGTGAATCACAGTAGGGTCACCAAAGAAACCTACCAAGCCATCTAATCTATCGTTGTTCCCTCTTGGATATTTACCAGTTCTCATGTAACCCACACACCTGCCGGGTGTGGTGCACTGCCCCATCTAGTGGCACCAAGACCACTTACAGAGAGAACAATGAGTCTGCTCTACAGCCTTAGCTGAGTGCAGGAGCAGACTGGCAATCAAAATAGGCCTGCGAATGGCCCTCCCCATGACGTCACCCCTGCATGCCCCTCAAGTCCACCCCCTTTCCCTGCGTCACATCCAGCATGCAGCATAAGCGGCAGGTCAGGCTCCGTGCGCCGCATACAGTGCTGACGAAGAACCGCTCAGTGTGCAGGGCAATGGCAGCCCGTCACGGGTGGATACAACGTCCCACCGGGAAATTCCCGGTATCCCGCTGGGCCAGTCTGCCCCTGGCTGAGTGCCAGCTGCACTCAAACTTACGCATTAAGCTCCAGAGGTCCTAGGTTCTGTTCTGCCTGTTGGTATTACATGCCCACTGCTTCCCTTGGTCCATCCCCCTTGCCAATCTAGCTGAAGTCACTTTAGGCTTCTGCCTTGCACTTATAGATTCATAGATCCCAAGGGGGGAATTGTGTAATTCAGTCAGATCTTCACTTATCAAAGTCTGGTAGCTATTTCTGACTGGAAGCTTTAACCAGCTCACCAAGCTTTGCTCCTTATGAAGCTGGTATGTTTCTTTGTTTCAGAATCGTATGTGGCGGAAGACCCGTTCTAAGAATTCTGGGAGCTCATGCATTGGAGTTGATCCAAATAGGAACTGGGATGCAGGCTTTGGAGGTAGAAGCAGAGTTTTCATCTACAGGTTGAACCTCTCTAGTCTGGCACCCTCGGAACCTGACCGGTTCTGAACTAGAGAATTTTCCAGAGCACAGGAAGTCAATATTGTCTAGCAGCATTACCAACACTGCCACTGCTTCCAGGGCTGATAGAGGAAATTTAGGGGTAAATTAGAGTTAAATAACAGCACCGAACACTGAGAGCCATGACTGGCAACTGTAAATAAACTTTATGAGACTGTGGAAAACTTGGCCACACCCGTGAAAAGTGGATATCTGGTTAACTAACATCATTCCAGACAACAGATGTTTCTGGACCAGAGAGTTCTGGACTGGAGAGGTTCAACCTGTATCGTTCTCACTATTGAAGTTGTTTCTTTTCCATGTAACTAGTCACAGGGGAACAATCTGGGATTTTTTAAAGGTGACGTGCAAAATATAGGCAACTGAACCATTAGAGCAGCCGTGGCCAGCTCTTGCCCCCCAAAAGTGCGGCTCGCGAAGCTGCTCCTGTGCTCCTCTCTCCTCCCCCCAGCTTCCCTGTGCTTACTTGGTTGAAGCCAAAGCTGCGGGGTTTTAAAAACAGCGCCCAAGATGGTGGCCATCACCTCATATGTTACATATGCAAAAGTGAATGGATCAGATTCTGATCTCTCATATACTAGGGTAAATCCAGGGTAACTCTCCTGAAGCCAGTGGAAATATTCCATGTTTACCATGGTGTTACTAAGATCAGAATCTGGCCCAATGGATGTAGAAGCCAATATCATCAGAGTTTCAGAAATAAAATGGTAAAAGGTGATAGTAATCATATTTCATTAGAGTAATTTCTTGATAGATTTCCAGGGAGCAAAAGAAGGCATGAGCTATCTATAAGTCATAACAACGTGTCACTTTTTCGAATGTTCACTCTCTGTAAATTCTTTTCTATCATCTCCTAGTGTATCTGACCTTGTCCCCGAGGCAAGACCTGGTGTTGGAGTTTTCACCATATTAGGCAACTTCATCTTTGTGTCCATCTGCATTGAATTCCTTGAGTTGTGGTTTTACAGATTTGCCTTTGGTCTTCTCTTGTGCCAACAGGCCCTGGAGCCAGTAACAACCCCTGCTCTGATTCCTACCATGGACCCAGTGCCAACTCAGAAGTGGAAGTAAAAAACGTTGTAAACTTTATCAAGAACCATGGCAACATCAAGGCCTTCCTCACCCTTCACAGCTACTCTCAGCTTCTGATGTTCCCCTTTGGGTATAAGTGCACCAATCCAGCTGACTACAATGAGCTGGTGAGTTACAGCAGCTTCTTGACCCTAAGCCTTCCTCTGTCCTGACTGAGTTGCCCTCCATATTTTGAGTGCTAGAGAACCATCGATTCAAATAGCCTTTTCAAGATAAAAGTCATGGGCTAAAGTTTCCCCTCACATGTAGAAGAGTAACTCCATTAAAAGCAATGTGGCTGCACAAGTATAATTGAAATGAGAACCTGGCCCCAAACAATATTGTTAAAATCAGAGCCTTCACTCCCTCATTTTGTCATTTATGTGTGTTACCTTGAACAAGTCTCTAACATTTCCATTCTTCAGGTGGTCTTTCTTGCATACACCACCCATCCATTTTAACACTCATACATCTGTGGTACAGATAATTTCCTCATGTTTCTTCTTTGCTGCCCAACACTTGGTGCCATATGTTAAACTGGATGGAGATGGACCACTGTTTTATAGACTTTGCCTCTTAATCTTAGTGGTATCTTCCCGTCATGTGCTACACGTCCTCTCTCTTTCCAGTTAAGCCAGGAATTTATTATACTGCCTATAACTTTGTCCTCCATTTTCCAATTTCCTTGTTTCTGGAATCCAAATAATTGAAACTTTGTATTGTTGTTGTTGTCTGATCATCTAGTGTCAAGGATAAATCTTTCATGTTCCTCTTCTTGAAATTACATACCATCTTGTTTTCCCTCTACTTATTTTGCACCCGTGTCTTGCTATGAGGGAGTCCAAACTCAGATGGTTTGGGAATGTAAAGCACACTCCTGACAGCAATCTAGGTAAGAAAGTCCCAATAGATCAAGGCTGAAGGAAAAAGACAGAGAGGCCGACCCAAGATGTTATAAAGGGAGACTCATTAACTGGTGGCATGAGAAAGGATTTGACATTGAACAGATCATTTTGGAAGGAGAGGACTCATAGAGCAGAGTCCTTTTAAAAGGAGAAATGCAAGGAAGAAGATAATTATCTTGAAATTCCTAGTTGTGTGGACAGGTGGTGTGTCCTCACGCTGTTTTCAGCACACACTGGGTCTAGTCCCTTCTTGCTGGTTCTCTTTAAGTGTGAGAACATCCACCGTTATGCTAATAGGATAAAACAATATCAATAGTCATATTGTTGAAGAACTGCACTCCTGAATGCTGCAAAGCTTATGCCAACCACTAACTCACAGAAATTAGGAAGAAACTTCCTCAATGGGAAGATTATACTATAATTGTCCATGGGGCTTTCTTGCACTTTCCTCTAAAATACTTAGTACAGCCACCACCAGACAGGATACTGGCCTGGAGGGACCACTGGATGATCTGATATGGCAATTCCTATGATCACCTGCCAGAAAATTGGAAAAATTGTGGATGCTCGCTGCTATACAGCAATTAAGACATTAACAGGTTCAATACAACTAATTTTTGGTGGGTGAGCGTTGGTGTGAAACCAGTTTGGATATTTTCTTAAATGAGGCCTGGGCTGAAATGCTCCTTTGCTTGAGTTTGAACATTTAATTTTCATCATCTGACTTCGTCCCAACTCTTCTGTGACCCCTCTAGAATGCGGTGGGGAAAGCTGCTGCCAGTGCTCTGAAGTCACTGTATGGCACAACATATAAAGTGGGGACCATTTGCTCAACTATCTGTAAGTATTTAGCAGCTCTGAATTTGATGGGCAGAACTGGGAGAAAGGTCCACTCTTCCTTCCTCAAGATGGGGACTACATCCCACTAGAAGGTCCGTCCTTGTAACTATGCCTTAATGGGATCCCTCACTGATTGCCAACTGATCCCTTATAAGCTGACCTAATGCCTAACCAGGGAGGCCGACAGACTTGCTGGACCCCTTGGCAAGATGGGGGGAGGACAGGCTCCATGCTCCTGGAAGGGGCAGGTCCCCAGGTGGAAGGGGCAGGACCGCCTGCCCTCAGCACTGCCCAGACCACACTGTGACAGACTTCAGACCTGCCATGCCATGCTCCAGTGGCAATGTAAAGGGCCGGAGGGCAATAGCAGTGGTGGCCACAAGCCCCAGATCCTTTTGAATCTCCAGACGCTGGGGCAACTGCTGCCTTTTGCCCTCTCCTGTTGATAGGCCAGTGCCTGACCCACACCGATGTTACCTTTATAGGGCCCTGTCCCAGAAATTCAGTGCCATTTGAGTGGGGGCACATCCGGCCCTATTAAGCCTATTTACATCCTCATTTAGGACCAGGTCCTGAAAGGTACCAAGCATTTCCAGTTGATTCCATCCACTGGCCAGCACTGGTGCACCTGGAGGCAAGCTAGCTAAGTACAGTCTTCATCTCACCCAGTGTGGTTTCTCGCTCTCTCTTTCAGACCAAGCCAGCGGAGGCAGCATTGACTGGTCCTATGATTATGGCATCAAATACTCCTTCGCCTTTGAGTTGCGAGACACAGGTCGTTATGGCTTCCTTCTGCCAGCCAGTCAAATCATTCCTACTGCAGAAGAGACCTGGCAAGGTCTGCTGAAGATCATGGAGCATGTGAGAGACAATCAGTAATAGAATCAGGGAGGCAAATCAACAGTATAAAAAGAACAAAGTCAATAGTCATTTAGAAAACAGTTCCTAAATCTGATTCCTTTGTCAAGCCATAGACAGTGGTACTAATGCAGCAATGTATTCGGCTGATGAAAAACTCTGTGTATGATCAAACTACAGTGAGATGCACCTGTCTGTAAAGATTCCTTACTGCACATCTCTTGTCCCTGCCTCTGCTTTTTCATCTTTGGAATTCTTACACAGTGTCATGATTTTAGGACCTGGCCAATGTTCGGTAACAAGCCCTTTTGTGGTTCTTCACAAAGAAACACAGGTAGCAGCCTGTGATTAAAGCAAGAGTCTACTCTTTCTCAGAACTGGGAGAAAGGTCCACTCTTCCTTCCTCAAGATGGGGACTACATCCCACTAGAAGGTCCGTCCTTGTAACTATGCCTCAATGGGATCCCTCACTGATTGCCAACTGATCCCTTATAAGCTGACCTAATGCCTAACCAGGGAGGCCGACAGACTTGCTGGGCCCCTTGGCAAGAAGGTCAGAAGAGACCACCATGATCATCTAGTCCAACCTCCTGCAGGAGGGCTTAAATATGTGATTGTCCCTTTCAAAACAGGACATGTGGTCACCCTATGAAGAGGCCAGTGGGGGGAGACCTAGACTGGAGTGGAGGCAGGAATGTGGTGATCGGATAATTACAGTGTGGGAGGAACAAAAGGCAGGACTATGCAGCACTTTAAAGACTAACAAGATGGTTTATTACAGTGGTCCCCAACCTTTTGGGGTTGCCAGGCGTCCGGGGGCGGGGCCACACATGCGTCCGGGGGCGGGGCCACCCATACACCGCGTACCCGGTGCCGGCACCACCCATGCACCACACTCCTGGGGCCGCCGCCACTCCTGTGTCTCATGCCTAGGGGCGGTGCCACCCATATGCCTCACGCCCGGGACCGGAACAGCCCATGTGCCACGCGTCCAGGGCCAGCGCCGCTCAGGGGTGGGGAGCCATGTGCCCAGTGGTGGGGACACCCATATGCCACATGCCTGGGGCTGGCACAGCCCTTGCGCCACCCACGTGCTGCGTGCCCAGGACCGGTGCCGGCGTCGCCCCTGTGCCGAGCTCCCGGGCCAGTGCCGCCCATATGCCGCGCGCCCAGGGCTGGCACAGCCCTTGCACCGCGCACCGGGGGGCGGGGTCAGCCCCCATCACTCAGCGGGCACACAGAAATGGCCCAGTGGGCACCATAGCACCCACTGGCACCACGTTGGGGACCACTGGTTTATTAGGTGATGAGCTTTCATGGGCCAGACCCACTTCCTCAGATCAAATTGTGGAAGAAAATTGGCATGACCACTCTATTACTATTTTACAGTGTGGGAGGAGGCTGCTTGTGGGTTGAGAGAGGGTGGGATTTATTTGCTTTGGAGAAGAGGAACGATGTATGGTCCATGTGTGAAGCACAGCATCCTGGTGTGTGTTCTAGCCAATCTGTCTCTGTGTGAAATAACTTCAAGCTAAGCCTCTATCAGTTACTTCCAGTGTCTGAATTTTTAGCTCACATCCCCCAGGTGTTAAATCCCCTGTACCAGTATTAAACATGCCTCACTACCCATGCTAACAATCTGGGTTGTACTTTTCTCCTGACCTGACCCTTCTGAGGTTTCCTCAAAGCTTCTTCTTTTGCAATGAAAATAAAACTAACTTCCTTCACCTGCTTTCAAAACTGTGATTCTGCAGCCCTCACGTCCTCTGTTGTACTGGGCTCCTGTCTGTGGGACAGCAGATGAGAACTGCAGCTAGAAAAGTCTGAGAAGGGCCTTAACACTTGAACTGGATCACAGCAGTTTGTGATTCCTGCACATTTGTGAATATCTGCGAGTATCCGCATCCACTGATGTCAGTGCGGATAGCTGTAGCTCATGTTTGTGGATACAGTTTTAGATACAGATACAAATTTTGTTTCTGCGTAGATCTCTCGTGATTAGTACTTATTCTTACATCTATGAAACGCTTTGCAAAGAGTTAATCAGTTCTCACAACACCTTTCTCACACATTGAGAACCGAGGCTCTAAAAAGTGAGAGGCCACATTTTCAAAAGTGACTTCAACATTTGTGTGCTCAGTTGTGAACACTGCCTTTATTTTCAGTGCTGATACACACTTACAATTGACTTCAACTTATTCAGGGACCTACATTTAGATTTAGGAGCCTAATTTTAAGTAACTGGGTTTGAAAATATGGTCTTGATAATATCACTTACACATCACTTAAATGCAGCTGCATCTGAGGTGGAGCATAAGAGACATTTGCACAGTCTGGAAGTACATAAGAGCCATACAAAGGCACAAGAGTCCGGGGAAGAATGTCTAGACACAGAAGAAATGTATGGGTGCCTTGGTGCACATGCTGGGGAATAGCATTGGGCAGAAACACAAGGGGATGAGAAAGGACAGCACAAAGTGCTACTGAGGATTCTGGGTTGTAGTGCAGACCATAAATAGCCCTGTGGAAGCTGCTGTCATTCAAAGATTCAGAGACATTTGCTTCAACTTACTACTGTGTGTCATCAGCAGGTCAGAATCCAGTGGTACGTATACACCTTCTCCCTGGGCAGCAACTTTTGAGAAGTACAGTCTAGAATCTAGCACTTCCCATCTGTAATCATGACAGGGATCTGGTGCTTGCTCTCCCAGCCTACTGAGATAATAAATGCAGGAAAGAAAATAAAACAAATATCTCCAGATCTCTAAAGAAGTTTAAAACGGCGACAATGCACCACACAGCCCAGATCTGTACTCAGAAATTTCCATACTCACTACTGAAAAAATAAACAGATGTGCAAGCTTACAGATTTGTGGGTCCTTCTACATGAGTGCAGGTATTTGGAGTTAAAGCAAACTCTATTGCACAGCAATCCCTTATATTTCTATAGCTCCTTACCTAGAAGAAATGGGCCTTCAGAGGCTTTACAGAATGCATACAAAGAAGAAATACAGCTGCTTTTTGATTGTATACATTTATCAGCTCCAAGGATATTGCACAACATCTTAGGTGGGAAAAGAAAAACTTCTCCAACCAAATCTGCAAGAGACCAGAATATAAATTTCCGCCGTTGGGATATGAGAAGAGAATGTTTCTAACATTTGTTCTCTTATGGAATGCACCATGGTCCCTTTAAATATTCCATGTGGTTTCAGGATGGATTCATGTCCTATCAGAAAAACAAAGGAGAAGCCTTCAGTTTATGCCCTTATGCTTGGAGTTATCTTCTCTGGTGAGACTGGGGTATAAATACCACCTTCCCCAAATGTGACTCGCTTTTAGATTGTATTTGTAAGCAGGGTCTGAGTGAATTCTCCCCAGACAGCTGACTGGGAGGTGGAGACATTTCAGGAGCAAACTGTATTACATGAACACACCTGTTCTGTTTGAAATTTCAACAAGGTAGCTGTGTTAGTCTGTTTCCAGAAAGCCAACCAGGAGTCCTGTGGCACCTTAAAAGCTAACAAAATTCTTTGGGGGTAAGCTTTCATGGGCTGGAGTACACTTCATCAAATGCATCGGAGGAAGTTGGCTTCCGCCCACAAAAGCTTACGCCCAAATAAATTTGTTAGCCTTTAAGATGCCACAGGGCTCCTCATTTCTACTTTGCTTAGCTTTCCAGCAGCTAAAGCGGTATTGCTCAATGTAGTGAAATGCTGTTATCAATCTGCTGTCTTTATTGTATGAATGAAGGAGTAGAATGGGGCTTAATTGGTCCCAAATGAGGGGCTTGCCCTCAGCTGAAAGGAAATTGTTAAGCCAGGGGCTTGAACACCAGAGCCCTGTGAAAATAAAAGAGCTGGGGACAAGGGAGTCCCAGCCGGGTGGCGTGGACACCACGGGGTGTCCAGTCTGGTTTCACATTGTTCAAGGACACAGCTAAATAGGCTCCATGAGGAGCTTTTGTTAGAGCCAAAATCACTTGACATGGGGCAGGGTTTCTGCACAGCCTGCAAAAGTTGAAAATCACGAATTGACTGACTGCAGAGGTCACAGCAGAAAGGCCAGGGGACACAGAAGGTGACTGGCAGTTGGCTGCTGAACGAGAAGCTGGTGAGGCAGCCAGGAGGAAGGAACAGCTTGGAAGACGGCAAGGAACGGCATCTGGAGAGGTGGCCAGTGGAGGGGAACCGTGGTGGCGCGGTGACCAGCCAAACCAAGTGCTCAAATGGCAGAGCAAGCAAGGTGCCTTCTTTCTGGGTGGGAGGTGAACTCACACAGATTCACCTCTGAACCCTAGGTCCTCACTGACCCAGGACAACCCCTGGAGTGGGGTGTAGTGAGAGGACAGAGAGCGGCACAGAAAAGGACTTTTGGATGTGGAACTTAAAAACATCAGGCAGAAAGCACTGCCCTGCACACTGTGTGTGTGTCCTGCTTACCGTTTTATATTTATTAATCTTGTTTGTGGCATCTTCTCTAATTAATGTCAGATGACTTCCCTTCTTTCATTATAAATTTCATATCTGCACTCAGACTCTGTGCTTGCAAGTGAGAGAGTATTGCCTCTCAGAAGTGCCTGGGGTTGGTGGGTAACTTTTAGGGCTGTCAATTAATCACAATTAACTCCTGTGATTAACTGAAAACATTAATCATTATTAAAATAATTAATTGTGATGAATCATAGTTTTAATCGCACCTATTAAACAATAGAGTACCATTTGAAATGTATTAAATATTTTGGATGTTTTTCTACATTTTCATATGTATTGTGTTCTATGCTGTAATTTAAATAAAATATTTGCACGGCAAAAATGATTAACAAAAATAGAATTTTTCAGTTCACCATATACAAGTACAGTAGTGCAATCTCTTTATTCTGAAAGTGCAACTTATAACTGTAGATATTTTTTGGCACATAACTGCCCTCAAAAACAAAACAATGTAAAACTTCAGAGCCTATAAGTCCACTCAGTCCTATTTCTTGTTCAGCCAATCACATGAAGACAATCATAGAATCATAGAATCATAGGACTGGAAGGGACCTCGAGAGGTCATCGAGTCCAGCCTCCCGCCCTCAAGGCAGGACCAAGCTCCGTCTACACCATCAAATTTGTTTACATTTACAGGAGATAGCACAGTCTTTTCTTATTTACAATCTCATGAGAAAGTGAGAACAGGAATTTGCTTGTCTTTTTTTTAAGCTAGCATTGCAAGTTAATTATGCTCCAGATTTACTAAACATTCATATGCTCCTTCATGCGTTGGCCATCATTCCAGAGGGCATGCTTCCATGCTGATGATACTTGCTAAAATAATAATGCATTAATTACATTTATGACTGAACTCCTTGGGAGGTAACTCTATGTCCCTGCGTAGTTTTACCCACATTTTACCCACATTCTGCCATATATTTCATGTTATAGTAGTCTCGGATGATGACTCAGCACATGTTCATTTTAAGAATGCTTTCTCTGCAGATTTCATAAAACACAAAGAAGGTACTAACGTGGGATTTCGAAAGATAGCTTCAGAACTCAACCCAAGTGCCTTCCAAAATCTGAGAGGAACAAGGAATGGAGCACGCTTTCAGGAGTTTTTAAAAAGCAATATGGTGATGTGGACATTATAGAACCCAAACTACCTAAAAAGAAATATCAGCCTGCTAGTAGCATCTGACTCAGATAATAAAAGTTAACATGCATTGGTAGGTACTTATTTGGACTGTCATTGAGCAGAACCTGTCAACAGCATGTCCCCATGTCCCCTAGAATGATGTTTGAATCATGAATGGGCAGATGAATCTTTAGCACAGGTGGCATGTGAATATTTTGCAACGCCAGCCACTACAGTGCCATGAGAACTTCTGTTCATACTCTCAGGTGACCTAGAAAATGAGAAGTGGGCAGCATTATCTCCAGCAAATGCAAATAAACCTGTTTGAGCAACTGACATAAAAAGTAAGACGGAGAGGATTTGCAGGCTCTAAAATTTTACCTTGCTTTATTTTTGCATGCAGTTTGATTTACTTAATTCTACATTTTAAAGTGCTTGCACTACAGTATGTGCATTAGGTGAGTTGAGTATTATTTCTTTTGGGGGTTTTTTATAGTGCAAATATTTGTAATAAAAAAATAAATATGAAATGAGAGCTGTACACTTTTCACTCTGTGTTGTATGCGTGGCACGTTGCATACTCTGCTTTTTCCCCAGACTCTTTTGCAGCAGCTCCGTGGTGGTAGCCCTGTTTAATTATCCAGCAAGTTGATGTCTCTTGGCTTGAGAACAATCCAAAGGCAGCCCAGGGTCATGGATCCACGCCACATAAGGATCCAAGATTGGTGTTTTCTTCCTCTGTTGAAACAACTTGTCCATCGATACTTAACAGAGTTATCTCGGTGTCCTCCAGCATTCCCAGCAGCTGGTGGGTTACTCGTTCTCTTCCCAGGCTGGATTGGAAGATAAATTTGTATTTTGTGGAAGAATAAAACATTTATCCTGACTTCAGGGATGTAAGACCAGTGCTTGGAAATTAATCAGGTGGCACATTAGCTAGCTAGCTAGATATGTAACCCAGAGGCATGGAGAATACTGACGAGGGAGAAAGAAGTCTTCTGTGCAGCCTTAGCTAAGGCCTAGTTGGCTTTTAGCTCATGCAGTTGAGGCACATGGCTTACCCCTAAGGTCATAGGTTCAATCCCTCCAAATGACTGTGGTCTATCTGCCCTACAGATAGATAAGGGATTCACTACTGGATTGGCAAAAGACTGATTTATTGCCCAGCCAGCTGGAGCTATATTACGTTCATACTTCTGCTTGTCCACTACTGCAGTCTCCCAGCCTGGTTGTGTTCTTAAGGTCTCTCTCCCACTTGTGCTACAGTGACACACAGGAGAGGAATGTGCCATTTTTGCATAGTCATTTCTCACAACAGACTTGCACTTCTAAGCCTTCCCACTAACTCTTGTAAATAAGCGTTGCCCAGGGCTGGCTGGCTGGGCGTGCACCTCTTCCACCCCATGCAGTGTTTCTCAACCTTTTTGACATCAGAGACAGCGCTTCATTTGTGCCAGGGCCTCCCAGGGCTGAGTGCAGGCATCTGTAGTCTTGGCAGCTCATCGTCCCGGCACGTCTGGGCTTGCTGCTTCAGTTCTGAGGATAAAAGAATTGCTCAACTCCTGGCACCTTTTTTCATTACAAATTAAGCCGTACCAGGGGTTGGCTTGTCGCCTCCTGTGACGTAGTGGGGGTACTTGCTGGGCTGTGGTGACCCCTGCTGTCTGGAGCAAGACCCAGCAGGGAAAACCTCACTATGCAAAGGTAGTGCCAAACTTGTTGAACCAGTGGCCAGACACCCCCCATGGAGAGGAACAAAGGAAGGTGGAATGCTGCCCTGGCTGGGGGGCAGGGCTGGAAGTTAGCTGGTTGGTTGGTTGCTGTCTGTGAGGATGGATGAGACAGCCTAGGGAGAGGAGCTGGAGTTTAGGGGCCCAGTCTCCCCCCAACTCAAGGGGGCCTGAGGCATCCTAGCCCAGCTCTGTGACCAGACTACATCTGTGCTGTGCTGTATCCTGGAGAGGCAATAAACTTCCTCAATTCTACTGGCTGGTGCAGTCTGTTTGTGCCATTTTGGGGTGCAGGAGACGGGGGACCCCAACGCGCCGTCACACCTCCCTAAACTGTGCCAGGGAAATCTCAGGGACCGGTCCACAGCCCAGCCATTGGAAACCAGTGCTCTGGTGGATGTAATCAGAACTCTTCAGCCATATATCACAAAATCTATTATTGACCTACAGCGATCCTTCTGTAACTTCCATAGCCGCAACCTGAGTTGTTTGGAGTTGGGTCATCTCGACAGGAGTTGAGGGTTGTCAAGGCTTTTTCCCCACTCTGGCATGATAAATGCAGAAGTGGGGGCCCGCAAAAGTACCCCAAAACCTTCTCTTTCCAGGCTTCAGTATAAAACTTCCCCCCAAATCTTAAAAACCTAGATTTTGGGGATAAACGTCATCTGCCACCACCCAAGTAATAATAAGGAAACCAGGGAGAGACCACTTGGGAAATCTCAGCCCCAAAAGTAAAAACCAGTACACAAAAATTCACCAATACCAGGTTAATAAAAAGACAAGAGAAAGAACTTTTATTATCACCACAATATTCCTGTTGCAAGCATAAAGACTAGATGGAAAAGTCACCAATTAATATACTCATGGGGTGTTCCACCATGGGTCAAAACTTAGTTACAAAGAAGAGGAAAAACCCATTTTTAAATGCACAGACATCAGATTCCCATTTCCAAACCATAAAACAGGGATAGAAGTGCCAAGTGGCCACAGTGACTGTGATGTGCTCAGAGGTGGGTGTGAAGCTGTTACAAGGCTCACGCTGCACAACAGCTGTGAGGTCTTAGGTGGCGAGGGATCTCTTAGCAATTTCGAGTTATCAGACCGCTGCTTTTGAACCCTCCGACTTGTCTGTGGCACTTCAGCCTGCAATCCAGCCCCGACTGACAGGAGCAGGTGGAAAGAGCAGGAAAGGTTAACCCCATACCCTGAGATACTATCTCAAAAATATCCCTGCAACTGTGCCTGGTGATTACTGGTTGGAGAACATGCGATACTTGCATCATACAACGCTCGTGTTAGGACAGCGTGTCTCAGGAAGGTGTGTGTTGTCTCAGGTGTGCAAGTCACATGCTTTATTTTCCTCTCCAAATAAACAAGCCCATCAGGCCCCAGGAAATGGTTTTGATGAATTTGTTTGTAGTATTATCGCTGCTTCTGCACTCAGAATGGACATGAGTAACAGCCCTGGAAAGGAAGGGTCCTTAGTAAACCATGTTCGGAAAACCACACTATATAGGCAGTGAGGGTGAGTGACTATCTCTCATTGCTGATCATGAGGGGGCTTCTAGTATTTGGTGTTCTTTTGGCAGCTGCCTTCAGCCAAAAGCTGTTTGTGGGGTGAGTACCGAGGGTTTCGGGGGAGTGTACGGTGCAGAGACTTGCTCACAAGATAGGGAGTATTTACCCATGTGTCTGAAATGTTTGTTTAAGTGTTTAGTCCTGATGACTGCTTGGTGGTCTTTGTGGTCTCAATCCATTTCCAAGTGGGCACAGTCCTGTTGGTCTCATACAGAAAACCAAGGAAACAATTTTGAACCGGCCACAGGTGGAATAGGCACTAGATTAGATAACCCACTAGGTCTTTTCCATCTCTAATTTTTCTGGGCCAACTATGGCAGATCGCACTCAGGACTTGGGTTGGAGTGTTATCTGTGGAAGGGCTGAATAAAGACTTTTGGGAAACACCCGCTCACCGAAGGAGCAAAGATCTGTCCACGTGGCCTGTGAAGCCTGGTGGATCCTTCTAATGGTTTGTCTGACCACAGTACCTACGTTTGCTTCTTCGGCAAAAGAAACATTTCTGTATTCAAAGGCTCTTCTTATGTGTTTTCCAAATCAACCCAGCCTTCAGTGGAGTGGGCAATGTGCTTGTAAAAGGCCATGTCATTTAGAATTGATTAAGAGTTGAGAGCCTCTAAGAACAATTTTGAACTTGTATCTTCTTTTAGGATAACAGAAATTAGGAATGAAAAAGACCTGGGGAAAACACTCTGGCTACGTCTAGACTGGCATGATTTGCCGGAAATGCTTTTAACTGAAAAGTTTTCCGTTAAAAGCATTTCGGAACAGAGCATCTAGATTGGCACGGACGCTTTTCCGCAAAAGCACTTTTTGCGGAAAAGCATCCGTGGCCAATCTAGACGCGCTTTTCCTCAAAAAAGCCCTGATCGTCATTTTCGCGATCGGGGCTTTTTTGTGCAAAACACTACTGTACTGTCTACACTGGCCCTTTTCCGGAACAGTTTTCCGGAAAAAGACTTTTGCCCGAACGGGAGCAGCATAGTTTTTCTGGAAAAGCACTGATGGTGAAAAATTTGGCCAGTCTAGACACAGCCCCTTAGATAATATAGTCCATGATAGCGACATAATTATTCTCTTGCAATCTTCAGTGTTTGACAAAGTCCAGTTTTAAATAGCTGGAACAATGTGATTTCCACCACTTCCCATTGGAGATTATTAGAAAGACATGGTTTAATTTGTCGTGACATCTATACATCATGAGATCTCACTGGCTGGTTTGAATCAGCCTGCTTTTTTCTACGTGCTCCTTAAAGATAATCTGAAATCACTCCCAAATATTCTGTGCAAGCAGAGTTAAGATGGGTAGTTTGTGATTCAACCTGGTAACCTTGAGTCCAGGTAGAGGTCAACTTTCCTTCTGATAGATACTTACTAGCTTTCTGGGATGTTTTCCTAACAAAAGCAAGGATTTCATTGCCCACTAGAACTGTATCAGTCCTGGGTCATTAGGGTATGCTGTGATGACTTTTCTTACAAATTTACCCAAATTGTAACTTAATAGGTAGCAGGTTTAAAACAAACAATAGGAAGTATTTCTTCACGCAGCGCACAGTCAACCTGTGGAACTCCTTGCCAGAGGATGTTGTGAAGACCAGGACTTTAACAGGGTTCAAAAGAAGAGCTAGATACATTCATGGAGGTTAGGTCCATCAATGGCTATGAGCCAGGATGGGTAGGAATGGTGTCCCTAGCCTCTGTTTGCCAGAAGCTGGGAATAGGTGACGGGGAGGGATCACTTGATGATTCTGTTAATTCCTTCTGGGGGCACCTGGCATTGGCCACTGTTAGCAGACAGGACACTGGGCTGGATGGACCTTTGGTCTGTCCCAGTGTGGCCGCTCTTATGTTCTTATTATAAGTTTGACTTTAAAAATTGAATGTAAGTTCCTAACATATCATGATAGCCTGTGACTACAAACGCTGATGGGAAGAGGTACAAAAGAGAGACAGACTGAACTCATCCTAACCAACAGGACTCCTGATATAACTCAAGGATTGCGTGATGCTCTTGCTGGTAAACAAGAACAGTGTAGAACCAGGTCTCAGTGAACCAAAATTGTTGCGCTGGAAAGTAGGCCTCATTGGTGGACCCAATAATGAGGAGATCTGGTTCCCAACACAACAGTTTTGGGTTCACTGCTTCCTGGATTCCCTTTGTGGGGCCAAAGACTGCGAAGGCAAAATGGGCTCTTGGCGCAAGCTTCACCATCCTGGCTGCCATCTCTGGGACCCCGGCCCTTCGTCATCCTAACCCCGACTGGTGTCTTGGCCGGCTGGGGCCAGGGAGAGGGCCCGGATGATATTGTTACCTCTGCTGGTTGAATTCCAGCTCCCTCCGGGAGGAAACGCGGCTGGACTTTAAACCAGAGCAACGTCGCAACTCAAACCAGTGGGCTTTTCTGTCTAAAAGCGAGCCCCGGCTATAGGAAAGGGGGACATGGGATGCAGTTAAATGAAAGCCTTACGTCGTACGTCACACTGCCAACACCTCCACTGCTCTTCCGGTTTTTCTGTATCTTTTCGACCAGATGCAAAGCAGGGGCGGTGCGGGGGGAGCATGAAGGGTCACATGCCCCCAAACACTGAGAGGGGGAGGGGCAATCCAGAGCCATGCCGTCCATTGGAGGGTCAGGGGTAACCCCCCATGGCCATTTGGGGGGCCCCCGTGGGACCCCGAGCAACCCAGGGGACTAGTAGGTGGCCTGGTGCTGGCATTAGGAGTCGAACTCCCCCTTACACACCGTGGGAATGGAGCAGCCCGGTCCCAGCTCACTCCCCTCCCCTGCCTCCCAGGTGCCTTGCTTGGGGGAGGGCATTGTCATGACATCTATACATCATGAGATCTCACTGGCTGTTTTGAATCAGCCTGCTTTTTTCTACGTGCTCCTTAAAGATAATCTGAAATCACTCCCAAATATTCTGTGCAAGCAGAGTTAAGATGGGTAGTGTGTGATTCAACCTGGTAACCTTGAGTCCAGGTAGAGGTCAACTTTCCTTCTGATAGATACTTATTAGCTTTCTGGGATGTTTTCCTAACAAAAGCAAGGATTTAATTGCCCACTAGATCTGTATCAGTCCTGGGTCATTAGGGTATGCTGTGATGGGGGCAAGGAGGGGCCAGGAAGAGGCGGGGCATGGCGCAAAGGAGGGGGCTGTCCCAGGCACTGCACCCTCCTAGGAACATCCCTCCCCCAGGCTAGGGGTGGTGTGGGGAGGAGTCCTGGGGGGCAGTCCCATAGCCGGTGCCCCTTTGTGTCCCTCCCTTGCAGCTGCCTATGGCGGATAGGTTCTTATCACGTGTTTGCCAGGTCACAAGCAGGCTACATACCAAATTCCAAGCCTCGTGTCACACGCTTAACGTTGGAGAGCAACAGGGTTGTCTTAACACCCATTTATTCCATCTAAATTAATACAACAGCCCATCGCGCCCCCAGCGCAGACCTCTAATCTGCTTGTCGCCTTTTCAAACTGCCGTATGTCCCTTACCTCTTCACCGTCTGGCTAAGCTTCCAGCCCCCCGCACATCGAACACCGCTGTACGCTTCGGCACATGGCAACGATCCAATACCTGTGCGGTGCCCTCGCCTCTGAACTGTTGCTGGCTCATTGTCATCATTCTCACATGCCTTCTGCCTGTCCTTGTTGCTTTGTCTTCACCAGAGATCAAGTTCTCCGCATCAGGGCCACCACCGAAGGGCAGATCGCATTACTCAGGGAACTAGGGGACTTGGAAGACCTGCAGGTAAGAACTAGGGTAGACATCCCCTGTAGCAGGGAACGACAGACATAGCACCTTGGGCTGTCAGGTGTGAAAGGGTGTGTCTACACTTGCAGCCTAATTCGAACTAGGGCTGCAAATGTAGACATTCAGAATTGCAAATCAAGCCCGGGATTTAAATATTAGGCTGCAAGTGTAAACATACCCAAAGAGAGTAAGAACTCACAGTGCTTGAATAAGAGTCCTGCACTTGGGACGGAAGAATCCCAAGCATTGTTACAGGCTGGGGACCGACTGGCTAAGTAGTAGTTCTGCAGAAAAGGACCTGGGGGTTACAGTGGATGAGAAGCTGGGTATGAGTCAACAGTGTGCCCATGTAGCCAAGAAGGCTAATGGCATATTAGGTTGCATTAAGAGGAGCATTGCCAGCAGATCCAGAGATGTCATTATTCCCCTTTATTCGGCTTTGGTGAGGCCACATCTGGAGTATTGTGTCCAGTTCTGGGCTCCCCACTACAAAAAGGACGTGGAGGCGTTGGAGAGGGTCCAGCGGGGGGGCAACCAAAATGATTAAGGGGCTGGAGCATATGACCTATTAGGAGAGGCTGAGGGTGTTGGGTCTGTTTAGTCTGCAGAAGCGAAGAGTGAGGGGGGATTTGATAGCAGCCTTCAACTTCCTGAAGGGAGGTTCCAAAGAGGATGGAGAGAGGCTGTTCGCAGTAGTGACAGATGGCAGAACAAGGAGCAATGGACTCAAGTTGTGGTGGGGGAGGTCCAGGCTGGATAATAGGAAAAACTATTTCACTAGGAAGGTGGTGAAGCACTGGAATGGGTTACCTAGGGAAGTAGTGGAGTCTCCATCCCTAGAGGTGTTTAAGTCTCGGCTTGACAAAGCCCTGGCTGCGTTGATTTAGTTTGGATTGGGCCTGCCCAGAGCAGAGGGCTGGACTTGATGGCCTTCTAAGGTCTCTTCCAGCTCTATGGTTCTATGGTTCTATGATAAGAGAGATCCTAGAAAAGCCAGAACCATGCAAGAAGTTGGTGATTCCTGCCTCTATCACTATCCTGATATGGTGCCCAAGCATGGAATTAAGGGAAACATAATTTAGTAAGTGATGTTTACTGATATAAAGTGCAGTTCCTGGCCACCTGTGATTACTAACAGCCGGTTGGCACGTTTCTCAAGGGCTGGGGGACTAATACAAGAGTTTTATCAAAGTTAAAATGTGGACTATTCAATTCTGCAGTCTCAAATTCCCCTCTGAATTGAGATATTATTTATTCTTCTGCACTTTACAACCTCGACTGTTGGGCAGTGTTAAGAGCTGGACTAACGCTGCCAAAATTATTTTGCTTCTTCTTCGCTGACACTTTTCCAAGCTGACCTCCCGAGACTATTCTAGTAGACAAGTTTATTGGCGAGAGCAGCAATTTGTAAGCAAATATTGTGAGTATTCTTTCAAAGAAGATGTTAAATGTGTAACTGTGAACATTGCACTGGAAACCTGATTTAAAGAGTTAAATTAACATCAGAACAGCAAGACTGGGTCAGACCAAAGGTCCATCTAGCCCAATGTCCTATCTTCTGACAGTGGCCAATGCCAGAAGCCCCAGAGGGAATGAACAGAACAGGGAATCATCCAGTGATCCCTCCTCTGTCACCCATTCCCAGCATCTAACAAATTAATCCAGTCAAGGAACAGAAACACACTGACTGGCCTGTATATCCCTTCAAAACAACTCAGGTCATAAAGAGTGAATATTCAAAGCAACATTCCCAGCACAAGATTCAGAAGTGATTCATCGGCTGAGATATCTGCAATATATTGGAAAGAGTTTGTCTGTCTGTCTATCTGTGTCCCTGTTTGTTCAATAGCTCCTCCTATACAGTAACAGCTAGGACCACCACATTTGGTACGCAGCTTCCTCTGATCATAACTTAAAGCGAGGCCAAGGTTTGGTGGTCCCAGGACAATGGGATGTGCCTGGAATGTGATTGTTTCTCATAAAATGGAAAGGAAGGGGTCTGCTAGCAGAGACAGTTATACTTTATAATGACCACAGGGGGCAGCAAAGGGCCAGAAACAGGGATTGGGTCAGTTATAACTCCATTGGGACAGCATGGGACAGAGGTGGAGAAAGGGACAATTATCTACTACATATTTGAGAAAGTTTGTTTGTGTGTCTGTTTGTCCCCCAACTGGGGGGCATGCACCCCTCCCCCAAGGGAATGTGGGCATTCGAAATAGTCAATGCAATAGGGATTTAAATATCCTGCGCTTCATTAGCATGAGCTCGCCGGCGCGTTACTCCGATCAACAGCTGTTTCGAAAGTGAAAGTGTGCGCCGGGACGCATTAGTTCAAACCAAACCCCCTGGTTCGAACTAACATTATTCCTCAAAAAATGAGGAATAATAGTGAACGAGGAACAAATCTGTAAACATCTCAATCTGCTCATGAGCAATTGGCAATTAGCAAAAAAGAACTAAAATAAATGAATACTTTCTTTGCAGTGAATAATTCACCCTGCTCTGGGAGAGTTGCTATGTTCTGTTAAAAGAGCTGCTATGTTCCACTTCAGAGGTGGCTGAATTTCACTGGGCACTGAAGTCGTGTGTTTGTATGTGTGTATGTAGAGACACCCACCATTTTGGGATCTTTAAGAATAAAAGACACTATATAAATACAACATATTATTATAATATTATTAACTAACATCACTGGCTGGGTTAACTTGGCTCGTTCTGCAGTGTCTGGAGAGCGCTAGGTAGAGGAGTACAGAGCCTTGGATGAAGCTAATCTTGCGTTTCTTTTCTAAATCAGATTGACTATTGGCTTAGCCCGGCCAAGCCTGGTCTCCCCGTGGATATGAGAGTCCCCTTCCATAGCCTCCAAGCAGTCAAAGTCTTCCTGGAGTCCAACGCCATTCCGTACACAATCATGGTAGATGACGTTCAGGTAAGGACTTCTGCAGCATGTATGGCCGTGTGCAAGAAAGTACCACAGTCGCCCTGGAGGTGGTCTGAGTTAGGCATGAGTTAGGTCAGCAAATCATAGAATTCTAGGACTGGAAGAGACCTCAGGAGTCATCAAGTCCAGCCCCCTGCCTAAAGCAGGACCAACCCCAACTCCATCATCCCAGCCAGGGCTTTGTCAAGGCAGGACTTAAAAAGCTCTAGGGATGGAGATTCCACCCCCTCCCTAGATGACCCATCCCAGTGCTTCCCCACCCTAGTAGTGAAATAGTTTTCCCCTAATGTCCAACCTAGACCTCCCCCACTGCAAAATCAGAAAAACTATGAGTTGGAAAAACAGAATCATGTCCCACTAAACTCAACTGACTTGGACAGTTTCAGCAAAGTGGACAAGGGTGAATGAGATGGAACTACCATCTCATCCTTTAAGTTAGCTTCAGGGAGGGATAGCTCAGTGGTTTGAGCATTGGCTTGCTAAACCCAGGGTTGTGAGTTCAATCCTTGTGGAGGCCATTTAGGGATTTGGGGCAAAAATTTGTCAGGGATGATACTTGGTCTTGCTGTGAAGGCAGGGGACTGGACTTCATGACCTTCTGGTTCTAGGAGATAGGCAATCTCCATTAATTCATTTAATTCATAGCTCCTCCAGACCAAGGGATTAGAGGACAGCCCCAGAACACTGGGAGAGAAGCTGCTGCCCTTGCTGCGTTGTTATGTGGAGGCCTTCATCCTCTAGCACCATCCGCGAGCATTACATTCTCTAACACTTGTTTATAGAGCCGAGCGCGGATCCGAAGGGCTCAGCTGAACACTGAGTTTTAAAGGGCACGTTTAAAGCTGTTCTTTGGATATAAGCATATTAGTTTAGTGCATGCAATAGCGCCCACTAGTGGCTGACTTCATGGACTATAACAACCTACTACTCAACTGTTAAGAACATGACCCCTGCGCTCAACAGCTAGGGGTTTGTACCTCTAACACGGAAGGACTCAGGATCAGTTCCTTTGGGTGTCTGAATATATATGGCCAACATACCTTCCACGTGGAAAAAACTAACACTCTTCTCTGTACATGGTTGTGTTTCCTTAAAAAGGAATTACTGGAGGACGAAAAAGAGGCCATGATGGCATCCAGGAAGTTTGAGAGAAGCAGCAACAGCTTTAATTTCGCCTCCTACCACACCATCGAGGAGGTACTTTCCTTAGCAGCCTGTTCTCTTCGTTTCTTTGGGGAGTGTGGTCAGAGGGTTGGGCCATATTGCACCATCGAGGAGGTACTTTCCTTAGCAGCCTGTTCTCTTCGTTTCTTTGAGGAGTGTGGTCAGAGGGTCGGGCCATATCATGGCTGGCTCCGTGTCTAGAAATGCGGCATTCTGGTGTAGGGTTTCATGGAGACTTTTGTTGGGAGATCCTCCCAGAAAGAGTTACACTGAAGAGATTCTCTTCTTCGAGGTCCCTTCTCCCCAGCTTGGAAGCCAAACTCCCCATCATTCCTGTCTCCCTGTGTGTTAAGCAACTCATTGTCCAGGCAGTTACCTACTCCTCTGGGAGACCCATTTTGCTTCATTTGTGGATCCAAAGTTCAGGTGTAATCAGAGCACCAGCTTCATGGTGGATGAGGAAACCTTGTGTGATCTCAGGTGTTCTCAGCATTCTTCCTACAGGCCTCCCGGAATCATTCAGACTGGTTGCTGTGTGGGAGGACACAGGGGGAATTAACACAGTGGCATAGGGGAGGCGTTCTGGCTAGGGATGTTAAATATCGGTTAAGTGAATAGTCGAGTAACCTCATTAATTCTTATCAATTAGTCGACTATTCTATAGTGCCTGGGGGCGGGGCTGGCAGCAGCACGGGATGCCAGGCGGGAGCTAGTCAGTGAGGAGAACCAGTTTAAAAACGAACTCCTCTTGCGGACCAGCTACCTGTCACCCTGTGCTGCTGCCTCTGATAAAGAGGCAGCACTGTGGGGTGGCAGCAGCCCCTGTCTGGGGTTGGGACCAAGATCCAGGACCCAACACGAACCGAAACTGAGCCGGGCTGCCTGTCCACTTGGTTCCTAATACACTTTAAATGCAGAGCTGCAACAAGGGTAGGTCCCGGACCTGGAGCAAGCCAGGACTGAGCCGGGCTTTTGGCCAGCTTGCTAAAAAATTTACGTCATCAATAGCATTAACCTATACGCTTTTGCTTATCGGTTAATTGGCTACACTATTACATCCCTAGTTTTGGCACCCAAGTGTAAGAGGCAAAGCAAATCCGCTCTAGTGGCTCTTCCAACTCTTGATGTGTAAAATCCCAGGGTCTCAATAGCTGTAGGTACCTGCTGCTCACCTACTAGGGACTAAGTAGCCATGTCTTACTGGGAACAAAGAATGAAAATGGTGATACACCAGGGTGCAAGTCAACCAAGTGGGGACTGTGTCGCCCCTGACCTGTAGCCTTACAATGCCTTGCTGAAGTAACTCCCTGCTAGGGTGCTCACAAACAGCCTTCCAGCCTGCAAGTCACACCCGGAGTGTCTGTGAGTAACTGCAGCTTGCCCGGCACACTTTGTCTCTTGCCAGCCTGGGATATGCTACAGGGTGACCCCAGCACACCCCCAGTCCCCAGATTTTCACCCAGAAATGTATGTCCTGTGTTTCCCAGTGTTCTCCTGGACCATACAAATATTTTAAGCCCATCATTCCTTTAACAGAGCAGTATACCCAGCTTATGGTCTTAGAGGGTATGTCTACACTAGCCCCCTAGTTCGAACTAGGGAGGCTAATGTAGGCATTCGAAGTTGCAAATGAAGCCTGGGATTTAAATATCCCGGGCTTTATTTGCATCTTCCCGTCCGGGCGCCATTTTTAAATCCCCTTAGTCTGAACTAACTGCCCGCGGCTACACGCGGCACTATTGTAAGATGGCGCCTGGATGGGAAGATGCAAATAAAGCCCGGGATATTTAAATCCCGGGCTTCATTTGCAACTTCGAATGCCTACATTAGCCTCCCTAGTTCGAACTAGGGGGCTAGTGTAGACATACCCAAACAGAGTTATCTAGACACTTCATCGTAAACACCCTGGATTAGATAAAACAGTAAAACATGTTTCTTAACTATAAAGAGATTGATTTTAAATGAGTACAGGCAATGAGGCATAACCGTCAGAAATGTTTGCCAGAAAACCTAACTAGTCCCTAAGGGCATATCTACACAGCAGAGCTGAAGTTGAATTAAGCGATGCAACTTCAGCTCTGTCAATTGTGTAGCTGAAGTCGAAATAGCTTAATTCAGCTTTTGGTGCTGTCTAAACAGCAGGAAGTTGAAGGAAGATCGCTCTTCCTTTGACTTCCCTTACTCCTCGTGAAATGAGGGTTGCCAGGAGTCGGAGTAAGAAGTCCTCCCGCTTGATATTATTTAAAAAAAAAGGCTTGCAGCTAAGAAGTCCTCCCGCTCGACATTATTTAAAAAAAAAAAGGCTTGCAGCGTAGACGCGCACTGTTATTTCAGAATAATATCAGTTATTCCATAATAACACTGCTGTGTAGATGTACCCTAACTTAACAAACTATATTAGATTCAAGCAAAATTTCTCACCGCATGCTTCCAGCAAAGTTACTGGCCGGCCTCTTCATTTCGGGGCCTCAACCCTAAAGGCTGTTTCCTTTTGTCTTCTCAAGGGCAGAGACTGCGATGGGCAAGGAGGCAGGAGGGCATGTGTCTTGGGGTGTTTGTTCCTTCTTTTTATAGTTTCAATCCCCCACTTGAAAAACATTTCCAGCTGGGAACTAGGAGACAAAGACTCTTTGTGGAAGGATGTTCCTGCTCTTTCTTCCCATTTGTTCGAGCTTCCTTGGTTTTTCCTTCTTACTCTGTTTGCTGTTTAAATGCAAATTAAGGCAAACAAACACTCCTTTGCTCAAGACAGGTCTGTTTGACCAGTTTGGCGCTGTGTGAATTTTGAACATCATGCAGGTACCATATCTTATAACTTCACACAGTGTTGCCACACATGTTTTATCAGGACAATACTGATCAGCAAGTTATGAGTTTTCAATGATATCTTACAAGGCATGCCTTGTACAAAGATGCTTACAAAGGTATGTAAGGTGTACTGGGGTATATTCCGTCACAGAACCGACAAGGCCAATATAATGTGCATGTCCTGACAACTCTTCCTTTTAGATCTACAGCTGGATGGACAATCTTGTGGCTGAAAATCCAGACCTGGTTAGCAAAATTCAGATTGGGCAGAGCTATGAAAAGTGACCTCTTTATGTGCTAAAGGTAGGTAGTGCACAGAATGTTAATACTTCAAGGCGACAGCAAAGCGCCTCAGATGTGTAGTCCCATGGGAGTCAACAGAACCTACACGCAAGGCGACAGCAAAGCGCCTCAGATGTGTAGTTCCATAGGAGTGAACAGAACCTACACATGCTGAAAGTTAAGCACGTGTTTAAGTGATTTGCTGAACTGGGACCTATAGCTCCAGAAACATTTATTCATATTGTACAGTGATTGTTACATTCATCCTTCCTCCTCACTCACATATATCACTCACACAGTTTAAGAATTTCTAGCAAAGGCAGAGTGTTAACTTTATATAAATTCCAGAGCAGTCTGTCCACAGGATACATTTTTAATAAGGTAAGGGAGCACCGTGATGGATGGTTTATAACGAGGATCAACGGAGACACTTAGCTGGCTGCTGAAACACTTTTTCTTAAAACCCAAGTGGTCAATGTCAGATATGATTTAAGATCCTGAATCGATAAAAAAAGTCTCTGGGTTACAACAATTACAGCTGGCCTGTATCAAGAGATTAATTCAGTCGAGCACAGATGAAACTACACAAGCAATCCAAAGAGGCAGGGATCGTCTGATAATAAAGCCTCGCTAGCCAGGTAACGAATTATAGGCATGATGCAATCTAAGCAAGCTCCTGACACTTATGCATACATACTTGGACTCACCAATGCCTACACTGCAGCTAATGTAGGATTGTTCTTTATGTTGACTTCCCCTGCAGTTCAGCACAGGCGGAGTTAACCGTCCTGCAATCTGGATTGATACGGGCATTCACTCTCGAGAGTGGATCACCCAGGCGACTGGCGTGTGGACTGCCAACCAGGTAATCCTAGAAACCTAGACATATCGGGCTTGAGGGGACCTTAGGAGTTAATCTAGAACAGCTCCTTGGCACTGTGGCAGGATTAGGAATAATCCCGTGGGATTATGTATCCTAGTGATGCTACACGGATCTAATTCCCAGTGGGTGGAGAGATAGCAGAGACTGAGACTGGAGCAGTTTCATTGCAATTACACAACTGTATGGAACCAATCTCTAGGGGTGGAAGAACATAAATGATCTGCAATCAAGTGTCATTCACTCTCCATATCCCATTTGCTCTCTTCTCTGAGATTACAATGCCCCCGAATTGAGTCCAAAAGGTTGTGTGGGTCTCAAGCATGACTTGTGTTTAGACAAATCCCCTCTTCCTCAAAGGCAACCGGTCTCGCTCTGAAGACCTCAAGAGATGGAAGATCCATCACATCCCATGGGTATTTGGCCCAGTTTTTGGTTCACATCCCTGTGGGTGATTTTTCATTTGAATTTGTCCAGCTTCCAGCCCTTGGCTCTTGGTTCTGCCCTTCTCCTCCTGTGAGGCCTAACCTAGTACAATCGCTCTGTTCTGTAATGTGAGCCTTCATCCGCCGGCGTCGGTTTGTTTTTATGACCCTGTCCTAGAAGAAATGGGAACTTGGGGTAATTCAGACCTTCTCTTCACGCAGATAGCCAGTGAATATGGCCGGGATGACTCTCTGACCGCCATCCTGGACACAGTCGACATCTTCTTTGAGATAGTCACCAATCCCGACGGGTTTGCTTATACTCACAGTGCAGTAAGTGCCTCTGGAGGAAGGAGGAAAGGGAGGGAGGGAAGAGGAGTTCTCACATCCTGGCTGGATGACCCAACTCTGGCCCTTTTTATGGATATGATGGGCATCCCCGATACTGTATTGAGTCAACGACCCATCTGCAAGCCTTGGATCTCCCAATCCCTCTCCGCTAGGAGATGGCAGATCAAAAATATCTGAGGATGCCCTGGAAAAGTCCCTGGATGCAGCTTTTATGATTATGATCTAATTTGGCTACAACTACTCACGAGAGAGATCTTGGAGTCAGTGTGGAGAGTTCTCTGAAAACATCCACTTGGTGTGCAGCAGCAGTCAAGAAAGGAAACCAAATGTTAGGAATCATTACAAAAGGGATAGAGAATAAGACAGAGAAGATCTTATTGCCTCTATATAAAACCATGGTACGCCCACATCTTGAATACTGCATACAGATGTGGTTGACTCATCTAAAAAAATATATATTGGCATCGGAAAAGGTTCAGAAAAGGGCAACAAAAATGATCGGGGTTTCATATGAAGAGAGAGTTAAAAGACTTGGACGTTTCAGCTTAGAAAAGAGGAGATTAAGGGGGGATATGATAGAAGTCTATAAAATCATGACTGATGTGGAAAAAGTGAGTAGGGACAAGTTATTTACTTATTCCCACAATACAAGAACTAGGAGTCACCAAATGAAATGAATAGGCAGCAGGTTTAAAACCAACAAAAGGAAGTTTTTCTTCACTCAGAGCAGTCAACCTGTGGAACTCCTTGCCAGAGGATGTGGTGAAGACTAGGACTTTGACAGGGTTCAAAAAAGAGCTAGATAAATTCATGGAGGTTAGGTCCATCAATGGTTATTAGTCAGGATGGGTAGGAATGGTGTCCCTAGCCTCTGTTTCTCTGGAGGTGGGTGACAGGAGAGGGATCACGTGAGGATTACCTGTTGTGTTCCCTCCCTCTGGGGCATCTGGTATTGGCCACTGACGGTAGACAGGATACTGGGCTAGATGGACCTTTGGTCGGACACAGTATGACCGTTCTTATGTTCTTAAGCACGCCAGCTAGTGCCTCCAAATGCGGCGATTACTTTAGAGTCCAAACCATCTTCTGTGGATTTCACTGGCGAACTTTTCACCTGTCTGTCAATGCTGTGCAATAACTTAGCAAAGACGAAGATGACTCAAGACCCAACCGTTAGCAGCGCTCCATTAATCAAACCACAATCAAACACTTGTGTTTGCTCTTAGAACCGCATGTGGCGGAAGACCAGGTCTATCTATGCTGGATCCTCCTGCCCTGGCGTGGACCCCAACAGGAACTGGGATGCAGGCTTTGGAGGTACAGGCTGGCTCCGGGCCTGTCGAATAGTTACTCATTCCTAGTGTCTGTCTATTTACTGTGAGCATGTGCTTTGGGATTATCATGAGCGCTTGTACAGCTCCTTAGATTAAAGACATGACATATGTATTTACCATTCTCTCTTACGGCAGGATAGTATGTCGGTTCTGTTAAGGAAACGGAATCAGCTTCCTGGCTGACAGGAAGTCATAATATCGATTCTCTAATGAATTAGTTCTTAAAGCCACATCCCTGTGTGGTACCTAGAACACTGGCTTAGTACTGCAATTGCAAACAAATCTACTCCCATTGTGAAAAAGGCGATATTGCTTTATTTTGCAGGACTCACCCAACCTTATTAATTCCCGTTTACATAGATAGCTTCCCCAATTATTACCCCTAATGTCATTACCTCACAATGCTAACCTTCCCCCCTCACCCCTCCTCTATTCTTAAATCTGATTTGTCAATTTTATATGTGTTCACTTTTTTTTGATTGTATCCCTTTGGTATATATGGACATGCCAATTTTCTTCCACTATTTGATCTGAGGAAGTGGGTCTGGCCCACGAAAGCTCATCACCTAATAAACCATCGTGTTAGTCTTTAAAGTGCTGCACAGTCCTGTCTTTCGTTTCATGAAGGGACTTTGGTAGAGTTACATGGAGGTGAATAATCCCTGCCCGATTTCTTTAAATTGCTGAAACATTTTCTAGTGAATGGAGCATTTGCAAATGTAAATTAGAAACCTGGAACATGTCGCATTTATTAGTGAGGAAATAATTGTTTTTTTTATTTTGGGCTTTTTTCCCCCTTAAAAAAAAAAAGAATGTTGTACTCACCCAGACAAATACACGTTTTGCACGGATCTGCTGTATTTTCATTGGCCACCACACACATTTCTTCACAGGCCCGGGTTCCAGTAGCAATCCATGTTCCAGTACGTACCACGGACCCTACCCTCACTCTGAGAGCGAAGTGAAATCCATCGTGGACTTCGTCCTGAGCCACGGCAATGTGAAAGCCTTGCTCTCCATCCACAGCTACTCCCAGATGCTACTGTTCCCTTATGGCTACAAGCCAGAGCCTGCGCCTGACCATCAGGAACTGGTGAGAGGGCTAAAATCGTGAGAGGGCTAAAACAGCTGGGCGCTAGGGGCTGGTGGCTCGGGGGCAGGGTTGGCAGCTGCCCTGGGCCTTGGTGATTTAAAACGAATTTGAACTCTGGGCAGCCACCTTCGCTGCAGCAGTGGCTGTAGCGCTGGCCCTTTAAATCGCCGCCGGAGCATTGCATGGCACAGTCCAGGAGGCACTGAGGGCTGGGTAGGAGCGGCTAGCCCTCCCAACTCCGCCCCTTCTAACAGAGGCCCCACCCCTTCTGGGGGCCTGGAGCCAAGCCCCTCCCACCTCCTTGCCCAGGGCCTGGTGATGTCTGTTGCTAGCCCTGCTCAGGGGATTAGATGGATGCAAGGTGCTGCGCTCAGCAGGGAGATGTAAGTTCCAGCCTGGGTTGCCCTGTCTGTGCTTCCTTTGATTGGGCCAGCAGCAGGCCCAAGCCCAGCCCTGCCCTAGCTCCTAGGCCTGTGTTGCCATGGCCACACTGCACTTGTACCTCTTTCCAAGCTGGGAACGGCCCCTCCCAGCTGCAGTACAGATGTACCAGAGAGCCGAGCTTCCACGCTGGGCCAGGAGGGTGAGTGAAGCTCATGGCCATCTGGAAGCTAAGTCTGAAATCGGTGGGTGCTCTGTCTCTTCCTAATGGACAGGAGTCCCCGTCTTTGCACTAGCACATGGAAGCCCCCTCCAGCTCAGCCCTCGGGCCCAGAGGCACAAAGGTTTTAAGGCTCCTAATTTAATTGAAATTAAGCACCGGGGTTGACAATAGACTTGGCCGAAACTTGGGCCCCCACAAGGGGCGGGGCATTGGATGAAAGGGGCAGGGCATTGGGTGGAAGGGGCGGGGCATTGGATGGAAGGGGCAGGGCATTGGGTGG